AATGCAAGGTTAACATTTAAAAAGCTAAGTGCATTAATTGTAATGGCAATCACATTGCCATCTCTAGCCAGTGCCCTGTAAGGCAAAAGAAAATCGCAAACAGTAAACCCAAGTCATATGCTGACACGTTAAAAGATTCATTAAATTTTCCCTCCCTTAATAAAAAATTAAATACCCAAGAAGTAATACAAGCAATACTATCACATTCTGAAACTCTGACTATTAATAGAATCTATAGTAAAAGTTGTAACTTTAAATAAAACTCAAAATATAAGTATTAGTTCACAGTTTATTAGCTCAGCTACAAAGAAACCATCCAAGACAAAAATAGCAAATCGTCACATTCAACCACCAAATCTTAAATATTGTACAGTGGAATGCTCAGACTGTTAAGTAACAGACTTGAGTTTCAAAATATTTTATACCAAAATAATATACATGTAGCTCTTATTTCAGAAACTTGGCTCAAGCCTAGCATTCAATTTAATTTACGTGGTTAACCCATTATTAGGAATGACTGCGGTAATGATCACAGTCTTTTGGTTTTTACAGTCCTGGTAATAGTTTTCCTGCTTTTGAAAAGGCGAAGTTCGATCGTTTATTGTACAGTATTTCAAAACCGTTGATAATTGCAGGTGATTTAAACGCCCATAATACTTTTTGGGGTTGTAGTCGCATAGATTCTCGGTGCAGAGCTATTATGGATTCTATGGATGATCATGACTTAATACTTTTAAATAATGGTCAACCAACAACTATAGGCTCTCATATTTGGAAACCAAACAGTCTATATTTAACTATGGTGTCTTCTTCTTTATTTCTTTCTTGTGACTGGCAAGTTCATCAGGACCCTTTAGGCAGTTATCATCTGCCAACTACCACAAAATTTACTCTCGTAAGAGATTAACATGAACCCTTTATTCCCTTGAACAACATTCCTTTTCTCAGCAATCTGAAATTAGTAAATTGGAATAGTTATGAACAAATTGTTAATAAAATGTTAATGAACTTTAAAGTTGACAATAGTGATCTCCTTGACTCATACAGAAAGTTTGGTGCAATTATTCTATTGGCAATCAAATTCTCCGGGCCCGGCATAAACCATAACACAACTGATAGTAATAATAACCGTCCTATAAAAAGGTGCCAAGTACCTCGGTGGAATGATAAATGTTCAAAAGTAGTAGAAGACTGCAAGAATGCCTACATTAATTTCAAAATTAGTCTTAATAGTAATAATTACATAATTACATAAAAAACAAGGCCGGCAACGCATCTACAACACCCCTTGTGTTGCAGATGTCCATGGGCGACGGTGACTGCTTACCATCAGGCAGGCCGTCTGCTCGCTTGCCCCTTTGGTTAAATAAAAAAAAAAAAAATTCAAAGGCCCACAAGCGTTTAAAAAACGCATTTTAAAAGAAGAACATTGTAAAAGTTAGTTTGAATTCTGCTCATCAATAAATCGTTTGACATCTATATATCGCATTTGGACTAAAATAAGAAAATTCAAAAAAAGCTTTCCGAGTTGTAACTTATTTTCTGACCTCAATTGGGTTCAAACATTTTTATATAAATACACACCGGATACTGTTTCTCAACAGATAAGTATAAATAATGTTCTTGAAGTAAATAGTGATAATTCAAACATGATCGCTTGTTTTACTATGCAAGAGTTAAAATCTGCTTTAGCCTGAAGAAAAGATTCTTCATGTGGCCAACATTCAACTTTTAAATGTTCAAACTCTATCTATTTTTTTAAAATTATTAAATAGTTTATGGTCGTCTTCTATTATCTGAGAGGATTGGAAAACTGACTGTTTGGTACCAATATTAAAACCTGGCAAAGACTTTAATTTGGCTGATTCTTCGATAAGAATCAAATAAGAATAATTAAGAAAGAAAAAAAGAATAATTAGGACGATTCCTATTACACTGAGTTCATGTGTTGGAAAAATTTTCGAACAATTAATAAAACAGATATTAATTTTTCACATAGAAAGTAAATAATCTTTTACCTTACAAACAGTTTGGCTTTTGTTGTGGCCGTTCTCCTTGTGAGAGTCTACGTCATTTCTGTCTGGATATCCACGATGCTTGTTCCGAAAATAAAGTACTGGTTGGTGTTTTTCTTGACATTGTAGGGGCTTTCAATAATGTAAATCTGAACAAATCATTCTCAATATTATCATTACTACAGGCACCTGGAAAAGTTGTAAATTGGATTTTTAATTTTTTTAACTACAGAAAGGTGTTTGTTAAGGTTAACAATCAGTTATTTGGTCCAAGATATTCTTGTAGCATGTATCACAGGGTGGTGTATTGAGCCCATTGCTTTTTATCCTATTCATACATCAGCTAAATTTAACTCTGGGGTGTGAAGTTTCTAATCTGCAGTTAGCAGATGATTTAGTTGTTTATTGCTCTAATACAAATATTTTATATGTACAATCAGTCCTCAATGTTGCTCTCCAAAGACTAAAGAACTATTTTGATAGCCTTGGACTGGAGGTCAGCAATGAAAAAAGTAAAGTTGTTGTCTTTTCAAAAAATGGTCTTAGAAATAGGAATGTAAAAATTTGTTCAATAATAATGTAATGTCTATAGAGAGCTCTGTAAAGTTTTTAGGTATTATTTTTACAAATAATTCTAGATGGAATAAGTATGCTGAAACTCTAGAATCTCGAGCTTTAAATGCTTGTAAGTTGTAATGTTTTAAAATCTTTAACAAGCACATATTGGGGTGCTGATCCAAGGATTCTATTAACATTGTATAAATCATTAGTAAGGAGTCATTTTGAATATGCCTTGTTTTGTTTTGCAGGGGTAAGAACTATAGTAGACAAATTAGAAAAGATACAAAACAAATGTTTCCATATTATAATGGGTGCCATGCGAACTACTCCCATAGTGTCAATGCAGGTTGAATGTAATATACCTCCATTAGCACTTAGGTTTAAATACTTACAATTAAAATTTTTTGCAAGGTTTCTCTCCGTCAGTAATCATCCACTTCTTGTTAAACTACGGGACACTATTAACAGGACTGCCAATATTAATTCATATGTGTTTCACGGTTTTTCTGAAACAGAACAAATTTTTAATAAACACAATATTTTTTCTGGCATGGTATGGCCTTGTTACTCTGGGTTATATGAATTAAAATTTATTCAGATTAAAATTGGAGTCAAAAGTCTTCTAAAGTATAAGGAAGACATTTATCTATACAGATGGGTCTAGGAACAATGAAGCAGTCTCTATAGCTGTCTATGATAGTCAGATCAAAAGTGGATGCGGTCATAGGCTGAATCCACTCACAAGCATATACTCCGCTGAATCCATAGCTGTGTATACAGCTATGGAGCTCAATCAAACACAGACTCATCCAAAGTGGATTATAATAACGGATAGTTTAAGTTTATTAACAGCACTACAAAATCCACAATTAAATACAAAAACGAACTATATTATATATAAAATAAGAGAGTTGTATCACCTGCTGTCTCAAAACAAGCAAATAGTCCTATTCTGGACACCAGCCCACATTGGTGTGCATGGTAATGAGCAAGCAGACTTTTTAGCTAAATTTATTACAAATCCAGCCCACAATCAATTAAGTCATAGCTTTTTAAATTTCCCAATTCCTTATTGAAGTTACAGAAAGAATTGTACAACTTATGGCATCAGGTGGTAAAGCTAAAAGGAAAATGGTTCGTTACAATAAAGAAAAAGGTCTCTTCCCCCTGGTTTACCCGGGGTAGTGACTATAGCCATAGAAAGTATTATACCACAATCTGTCGTTTGCGTCTGGGACATTGTAGTTTTGGTGCTCACCTTTTTAGGATTGGTGTTTTTGACTCTTCAATTTGTAGATATTGCAATAGTGCTGATGAAACCCTCGAACATATATTTTTTGATTGTCCTCAGTTTAGTATACAAAGGATGGTTCTTGTAGACCAACTTTTAAGTATTTTTAAAACTGCTGAAGATATCTCGCGCTCCCTTCAGCAAATACTAAGCATTCAAGAATGCTTCTTGCCAGTTTATGGCTTTATTGTTTCTACTATAAATTAAATCTAATTGTTATTTGTACATATGTATATAATACTAATTTTTTCGTTTTGTCTAAGATATTTGTTTTTCAGCTATTTTCAGAATTTGACCGTTTTATCGATAGTGATAAATGAATTGTACTAAAAATGACATAACAAGGACTTGACATTGAAAAAAGACGGAATATAAAAAAAAACAAGAATTTGACAAAAAAAATTATAAATAAAGATATGGTTTCGGCATTATAATTAAAAAAATATTTAAGAAGAAAAATTAAAAGAAGACATGGCTTCGGCCTTAAAATTAAAAAAAATATTTAAGAAGAAAATTAATAGAAAACATGTCTTAGGCCTGATATAAAAACTTGAGCCAGAATAAAAAAGGAGATTAAGATATTTAAAAATAATTAAAGATACAAAATACAAAAGACATGGCTGTATGGGCTTTGTTCTTCTTGTCTGTTCTGAACGGAACGAACATAACCAAAAAAAAAAATATCTATGGGTCTTTACTGTTTATGGTAAAACATTTTAAAGAGGGATCTAATGACAACACATAAATAGTGTGTTTTTAAAAACAAAAATATGTAAAGATATTTCCATTCATTTCTAATCACATATTTTACTTATTTCTAAAGTTGTCTTATTTTTTATAAACGAAATATTATATCTGGCAAGCCTGCAATGAAATGTCAGTCCCATATTATAACAAGTAACAGACTGAGAACATGTCAATAGATTTGTTTACTTTTTAAAAACTTGAATAATTATTATATTTTTGTACAATCTAAGGTATAATTATTAGAAAATGTTCCTTGTGATCTATATAGATTAATGTTAATTAATGACCTAATACTACATGTAAGAATATTTTAATTCATTCTGTGTAAAATACCCATTGAAAAATAAATTTAAACATTATTAAGTCTATTTCGTGTCTGCGAAAACATGAAACTGGTGAGTCCAACACCACTTTAAACAAACCGGACGTTTAAAACAGCGAACTGAAGGCATGCACTTGAATATTGTTTTAGTATTGTTTAAGTAGCGACGCGGCAAAGCCATGCTTCGTGCTGTCGTTCAAGGAGCTGTTGATCATGTTAGACTGCGGCCTGTCAGCGCACTCCGTGCTGAACTTCCTTCCCCTGCCCCCAGTGCCCAGTACAAGACTCGCCTCGCTGCCCAACTACACTCCGCCACATGTCAACGACCCTCTACTAGAAGGGGTATAACTTTAAAATTTGTTGTATTACTCATATGTACACATTTTAAAGTAATCTTTTAATTCTCCCTAACTCCTGGTCACTTCAGGGAAAAAGTGTAATTAGCTTGTTTAGAAGAAAATAAATTTCTGTAATGTAAGTAATCCCAAAATGAAAAAAATTACCACCTTTCTTTTAGACAAATATTTGATATGGCTACAAATATATTGAGATAATTGTTAATAATTATTGCTAACTATGTTAATACGGTTTTAATAATCTAATGCTTACAGTTCATTGTAGTGTTAAAGCTAAAAAATATGTATTAGGCTTGAAACAAATATTCAATTACTTTCCAGTATTCAACCTATTAGGATGCATTTAGTATATTCAGAGTATAAGGACTCTACATTTTATTTATCTCAATACCTACTACTTAAATAATATATTTTGTTAATGGGAAGATTACTGATAAAATGAAAAAAAATTGGTCATACATTTAACTTTTTATTTCTCTATCAATAATCATTTAAGTAGTCATTAGTACATAGAAAGGTTACATAATCATCTCTTGTATTAGAAATGTTCAGGATTCTGTATATTTTAACTATTGTAATAATCAAAATTTAAAAGGTAAAGGTTTTATTTATATTACAATCATTTCATTTCATTGGTTCATAAAACAGGTTCAGTATCATCATTTATGTTAGAAAAGTTAAAAAAAATTCTTTACATTCAAATTACTCCCATAATCAAAATTAGAAAGGGAAGGTTTTTGTATAGAAAGACAGATTTTTCTGTATATTTAGGAAGTAGGTAGTTTCTTTTTTAATAAAATGTTTTGTATGAGTTTATTAGAACAAACAAGCAAAACAATCAATTCTGTACAAGTTTAGGTTCTAAAATCTGTCCTAATACCTTGCCTAATATTCCGCTATTTGGTTAGGAGATTCACCCTATTATTGGGTATACTGCTGAATATGTTATTTGTTACAAGTGTAATATATATGGTATATGTGAATAATGAAGAATGCAGTCTTAAGCAATGTTCTCAATATTAATTTTTTTAAGATTATTTTCTGTTTATAGTTTTAAAAGCCCAATTTGAAAAGTTTTGGTTCACTAAATTCCACCATACATATCATAGGAACTTAAGGAATGCTGCGGTCGTGTGTTTGTGGACAGTGTACCAGAGTTCTGTCCTCCCCTCGACAAGGTGGTGGACTTCTCTCAGCTGGACGTCATCCTAATATCCAACTACACCTGTATGATGGCTCTGCCCTTCATAACCGAAGACACGGGGTTTAAAGGACAAGTGTACGCCACCGAGCCCACTCTCCAGATAGGCAGGTGAGCCACTCCCACCACACTCAAATATTTAATTGAACTGAAACTGAAAAGAAAAGTGTAACATGGACTAAATGTGTTTTCAGGTTCTACCTCGAGGAGCTGTCGGAGTGGGTGTCGGGGAGCGGCGGCGGCGCGGGCGCGGCCAAGAGGTGGAAGGAGCTCGTGCACCTGTTACCGCCGCCGCTGGCCTCCGCGCTCCGGCCGCGAGCCTGGCGCCGGCTGTTCTCGCCCGCGGCCCTGGCGCGCGCTCTGTCGCGGGTCCGCGTCGTGGGGTACGACGAGCGGGTGGACATCTACGGCGCGCTGGACGCCACCGCCGTCAGCTCGGGGTTCTGCCTCGGCTCCGCGAACTGGGTGCTGCGCTCGGCGCACGAGAAGGTGGCCTACGTGAGCGGCTCGAGCACGCTGACCACCCACCCGCGCCCCATCAACCAGGCGGCCCTGCGCGGCGCCGACCTGCTGGTGCTGGCCGCCCTCACGCAGACGCCGGCGCACAACCCCGACCACATGCTGGGCGACCTGTGCGTGCACGCCACGGTCACGCTGCGGGCGGCTGGCTCTGTGCTGTGCCCCGTGTACCCGAGCGGCGTGCTGTACGACCTGCTGGAGTGTCTGTCGGCGCACCTGGAGGGCGCGGGGCTGGCGCACGTGCCGCTGTACGTGGTGTCGCCGGTGGCCGACTCGTCCCTGGCCTACAGTAACATCCTCGCGGAGTGGGTGTCGGTGGGCAAGCAGGCGCGCGTGTACCTGCCCGAGGAGCCGTTCCCGCACGCGGCGCTGGTCCGCGCCGGCCGCCTCAAGCACGCGCGCTCCCTGCACGACGACGCCTTCAGTGCGGACTTCCGTCAAGTGCGTAACTTCCTCCCCTCTCCCGGAACCTATCTTACCTAGCTCTGCCTCTCTTTGTGATCACAAAATAATTTAATATCAAATATAAATTATTATATTGTATCATCGAGCCTCAATAACATTATGTGTGTATTATATTATATGTACAACTTACCTTTAATGATATGGTTAAGTCATATTGTTCCATCAACTTTTCGTTTGTTAGGGAGAGAAAACTGCTGCTAATAACGAAACTTTGGTATCTCAATTTAAATGGTTGGGTAGTCTACAAATAAATATAAATTTGATGCTTTATTTATTTATGCATACATATTTACATTATATAACTTAACATACACTATTTTTTATGTTTATAATATTATCTACTTCCCTTCGGGTTTCAACTATGTATATCCCTCGAACTAGCATTTTTATTACCCGATAAATAAATAATATGACACGTACACGTCTTTCGTTTACCAGAGCACGTGGCTTTCTAGTGACGTTTCTATTGTTGTTTTAATATTTAGGTGAAAATCTGTAGTATTAATTTTTATTGTTTTTATATTTTTATTTATTTACTTATTTATTTATTTAACCGTCACAATAAAACTTAATATTTATAAACTTGTTTACTGCCACATCAGTCAGGGTCAAACGGTACCATTGAAAATCAGCATAAGGTGTGTTAACCTTTTACGCTGAATGGTTTACCTTTTACGGACACGTCATATTATGTATTTTAATGTTTATTTTTTTTTAACCTAAGTTTTAATTTTTTTTTGTTTTGGTGTATATTATAATTATTTAGTCATAATTTTTATTTTATTCTTTATTCCGATGTTTATTTTTTTAATTTGTAATTTTCTTTGTATACCTAACTCCGTGTCTCTAATAAAAACCTTCTTTCTTTTCTTTTTCCTTGTTCGCGTGTTGTCTCACGTCCTCCATGGTTCCAGCCGTGCGTCGTGTTCTGCGGCCACCCGAGCCTTCGTTTCGGAGCGGCCGTCCACCTCGTGGAGCTGTGGGCCAACAACCCCGCGCACGCCATCATATTCACCGGTAGGAGACACCGACCCTCGCTCACATTAACTGACTCCCTCACTCTCGCACACATGACTCTTTCAAACCCGAATACGAGGAAACCTCAATTGATCCCATTAATGAAGATTTAAATAATATCTCAGAATAAAAACTCATTAATATTAAATGCGAGTAAAACAAAATCCATGTTATTGGGTACCAAAATACAACGCAATAAGTAATATCGCAATCGGTTCATATTAAAGTTCACGGTCAGGTGGTCGGTTGCAAAGGGTGGACAGTGGACAGTGGACAGTGCTGTTGATTTAGTGTTAGTTATGGATAATGAACTCGGGTTCGTCGAAAATATAAATTGTTAAATAAGGAATGCACAAACTTAATCGTCTCCTTAACACTGGCATTCGCTTTATCTTCAATTTACGCAAATTCGACCACGTTTCTCGTTTTAGGAAACAGTTACACTGGCTTCCTATACGGGAACGTAGGTACACTCGGATGCTATGTCTTCTTTACTCTATTCTTACCGACCCTAATGCTCCCACTTACTTATCCTCTAAATTTTCTCTTCTCTCCTCTACTCACAATAAGCCCCTACGATCCTCTCAATCCCTTACCCTTTTCATACCTCCCCATAAATCTGGCTTTGTTTCCAACTCTTTCTGTCTAGTCGCAGCCCGGCTTTGGAACACTTTGCCTGACTCTATTCGTAGAGCCCCTTCGCGCGATTCTTTCAAGCGCCAAGTGAAAGAATTTTATCTGTCGTCTGTTAATACTATGTGATGTCTTTTCTTCTTTACTATTATCAATATTGGATTCATATATATGTAATTGTATATATTTGTGTATATATGTTATATATTTATGTACTTGTATATGTATTTGTTTGTGCATATTTATGTATATTATGTATATGTATATTTATGTATTTTATACCATGTATATATTTTAAATGTTTCTTTAACTTCTGTGCACATCCTACTTACTACTCTCCTACACTATTCTGGGTTGGCTGGCAGAAAATGCTGTAATAGCGTTAAGTCCGCCCTTTGTACATTTCTTTCTGTGCAATAAAGAATAATAATAAAAAAAAAGAATGCCTTTTATCGTTTAAAACATTATTTTATTTTTTAAATTTCAAATTTTATTTATTTCAAAAAGTTATTTTACACATTTTATACATCTATTGCTTCAATACCATCGAAGAATGAATTTCATTGCTGTTGTTGTTTTACAAAAAAATATGTATACCTTTGTTAGAGGACATACATATAATATATATTGTTATTACAAGTACCTATTCAAACAAATATTAGCACAGTATTGGAATCTCACTATATGATATTACAACAGCTTATTTCCTTATACTTATTATATTAATAACTTATAATATTTATATTATGCTTATTTATTCTAATGTCACATAAATGTATAAAAAAATAAACTTTAATCTTTTGGCGCGATTTCCAGCGGCGTCCACACTAAGCGAGCTTGTGTCGTGGATGCCTTATTTACGATTAACTATAACAAGCTCAAAAGTATTAAATCTAAATATATAAGGAAAATGATACAAAGACAAATAAATAAAGTGGGTAACATAAATATATAGTAATTAATATTACGATAACAAAATATGTATATACGCCACCAAAAGGCTTTTATATAACATTTCGTTTGGTGATTAAAAGATGAAGAATTTTTTTTTGTTTTAAATTTGAAAAGGAAAATTTTTATTTCATTTCACATCAGTAATGAATTCATTTCGATTACAAAAACAAAGTGTTATTTAGTTGAACTTCTCTAAGTAAATGAAAGTGAATCCAAAGTAGATACCGAATCGAAGCGTTATACGTGTCCGCAAATTATCCGTGTCATTAAAGTGCTCCTTTGTAAACCACATTTTTTATTTTTTGGTCTAACTTTAACACAAATAAAACGGATGGTTTCCAAACTCGTGAACACGCAAAATATAACATCCATGTGAAAAACAATAATTTTCTAAAATCCCGCAAATACTAAATGGTTTTAGGAGTTCAAACTACAAACACAATACCGGTTTGTCACATGAAATTAACTGAGGAGAGAACAATGAGTAGCTGTCAAACAATGTATCAAGCGACGGCACCATCTACTTAAAATATTGATTTGTAGTACATGTTTTACAACGAATACAAAATAGTGGAAATTGGTTCGTTCGTTCTGAACTTATAGCGTTGGGATGGAAAACCGGACTTATTTTTATATTGTAGATCTCTTACAAATAACTAATATTTTTTATTTTTTTTTAATTCAATTGTGTTTCGTTATTCCACGTTTTATAGTGACTGACGTTTCATGTCAAGTCACGGGAATGCTGTCGAACGGGATAAAAAGTATCCTATTGCAATTTCCTATCTCTAAACTACCTCCCTGACAATTTTCAGCCAAATCGATTCAGCCGTTCTTGAGTTATAAGTGGAGTAACTAACACGACTTTCTTTTATATATAGATAAGATATATATACACATACATATATATATGTACATATACATACACATACATAATAAAGTAAATATACAAGATATAAATATAATTATCATGAATCTGAGATCACGTTTGTACGATAAGATTTTTTTTTCTGTATTTTCATGAGACAATGACATTAGCCAATTATGGAGAACTTTTAGCTTCATTTAAAGTGCAACGTTTTATGTCACATAAGCTAGTTACTTTAGATACTATTATATAATATTAGAAAACATCTTTCACAGCCCATTAGGAAAATACTTGTCGAATCCATTGTAGTGTCTCCGTTTAACTATTGTGACGCAGTATACGGGCCACGACTGTATGAAAAAAACAAAAAGGTCATACAGAGTTCAAAATGCGTGCGTTCGTTTCTGTTACCCTGTCTGTCCCAAACGCGCTCACGACACGCCGCTTGTTAACGATACAGACACATTAAAAATAGAAGCTCGAACAAAAATACATGCTGCGTGTCTAGACATACAGTTATTGTTAAGAAAAGGCCGACGAACCTTTACGATAAGCTGGACTGGGTTAGACACGTGCAGCAGGTGTACCCGCAGGAGAGAAGAAATAAATTAGTGGTACCAGCTCACAGACCGGCTCAATATGAAAAATAAAATAAATAAATAAATAAATGAAATATAAATGAAGCTAAAAAGGTTCATCATAATAGGCTAATTTCATTGTCTTATGACAATACAGAAAAAATTCTTATGGTACAAACGTGATCTCAGATTCATGATAATTATATTTATGGCTTGTATATTTACTTTATTATGTACGTGTATGTATATGTGTCTGTATATGTACATATATATACAGGGTGACTGGTGAATTACTATCGATACTTGAGGACGTGATATTTGACGATCATATATGACAAAATAAAAATTAATATAACATAAATATTAATAAACTTCTAAGTAAAGCTAACCAAAAGTTATGTAATTAATTACGCATCGTATGAACACCCTACAGATTAGGTATACACACACACACGCGCGTGCGGCGGCGTGGTGTTGTATCAGCACGCCGCCGCACGCGTTTCACACGATGCGTAATTAATTACATAACTTTTGGTTAACTTTACTTAGAAGTTTATTAATATTTATGTTATATTAATTTTTATTTTGTCATATATGATCGTCAAATATCACGTCCTCAAGTATCGATAGTAATTCACCAGTCACATATATATTTTGTTATCGTAATATTAATTACTATATATTTATACTAGCTTTTGCAGCGACTTCGTCCGCGTGGAATAGTGACTTCCGGTAGATTTTTGGTTCTTCCCACATAGTTCCCGTTCTTGCGGGGTTTTCAGAATGGTCGAGTTCCCGTAAAATTTTCAGGATAAAACCTATGTTTTTTTTTATTCACAATGAAGTACTCTTAATCAACAACATATTTATTTGTTTATTTGAATAACGATTAATGTTATTATGTTGATACAACTTAAACAAATTATTTCGACCAAATTAGGTACCATAAAAACGGTTTTTGTGAGTTAATCTTAAAAGATAGACATATACTGTCGCGGACTGTTTTTTAGATCATTAAAAGAGCTATTATTCTTTAATACATATTTTTTGTGTATCTTGAACCGTTTTCACGGCGCACGCAACGGAAGCCTTCAAAGATGAAATAATTTCTCCCGTTTTTTACACATTTACCACTATATCTTTGCTCCTATTCCTCGATACCTGGACTATCCAACACAAAAAGAATTATTCAATTCGAACCAGTAGTTTCGGAGATAAGCGCTTTCAAACAAACAAACTCTTCAGCTTTATAATATTAGTATAGATTATCCCATTTTATTTATTTGTCTTTGTATCATTTTCCTTATATATTTAGATTTAATACTTTTGAGCTTGTTATAGTTAATCGTAAATAAGGCATCCACGACACAAGCGTGCTTAGTGTGGACGGCCCTGGAAATCGCGCGAAAGGTTTAAAATGCCATGTTCTATATTTTGTGCAATTTTCTGTTTGTTGATAATAAACTTTGTAATGTAAATAAATAAATAAATATAAGGGGGGGTTAAATACTCCGCCACCATATGGAACGAGTTACTCTCCCCCCCCCCTCCTCTGCGTAATAGTACGTCCCAGGTGACTTTGAAAAAACATTTAACGGTATTATTTTTAAATAAACAAAAGTCAGAGTAACAACATCCAAATATAGTTTCAGTCATACTACCTCATAGACTTAGTACTTATCATATTTATTTTTAATGTTTTATCTAAGTCTGCTTGTCTGTCTGTCTATCTTATGTCTAAGTTCCTTTTGGTGTTTTTCTTTTTGTGCGATATGTTTCTTTTTTTTTTCTCAAGGAAAAGGGCTTTTTAGTTTTTTGTTCTTGTAATTTCATTTATTTAATTTCGTGTGCGCGCATTTGTATTTGTTTACCTAATATTCAGGGGCCATCTGAAAATCTGTGCTGTGAATTAGCACAGCTTATACTGAGATGAACTCCTTTGCTCCTACACAGTATTCCTTAAATTTAATTATTTTCTGTATAATCTTTGTAATGTATGCGTGAAGCAAATAAATGGTATGGTATAAATGTTATTAATCGTACGAATCTTTGACTTCAGAGCCGGACTTCCCTCACGCCGAGGCGCTCGCCCCCTTCCAGCCGCTCAGCATGAAGGCCTTCCACTGTCCGATCGACACGTCGCTCAACTACTCGCAGGCCAACAAGCTGGTGCGCGAGCTGCGGCCGCGCGAGCTGGCCCTGCCCGAGCAGTACGCGGCCGCCGCGGGGGGTGGCGGAGGGGGCGCACGGCCGCACATCGGCGCCGACGTGCCCACCGTGGTGGTCCGGCGTGGCGCGGCGCGCTCGCTAGGCGTGCGGCGGCGGGCGGCGCGCGCCACTCTCTGCGGGTCGCTGGCCGCGCGCGCCTCGCCCCGCGAGCTCCGCGCCGGGCTGCGCGCCGCGCCCCTGACGGCCGCCCTGCGCGTGCGTGACGCGCGCCTCGAGCTGGTGTCCCCGGCGGCGTGCGGAGCGCCCGGCGCGGACCCGGCCCCGGCGCCCGTGCTTCACTGGAGCGCGCTGGACGTGGAGGCGCTGGTGCGGGCGCTAGCGCGGGAAGGCGTGTCGGAGGCGCGCGTGGAGGCGGGCGCGGACGGCTGCATCGTGCACCTCCCGCGGCACGACACGCTGCTGCACGTGGAGCGCCACGCCACACACGTGTTCTGTGAGGGCCGCGCGGACGTGCGCCAGGCGCTGAGGCGGGCGCTGGCCGCGTGTCTGCCGCACATATAAACCATTACTTCCCCAATAAAGCCGCCCTTGTACAAAAAATTGGACAATTTTATTATGAGGCTACACCCCCCCCCCCTCCTATTATCTCTCCCAGTGAGACGTAGTAAATAGATTATAATATCAAAATGTATTTTACCATCTAACTTGCAATCAGCACAAGTTGATCCTTTGTACAATTTTGATAATTATCCTTTAGAACTCAAATTTAAATTACAAACGTCACAAAAAGAGGCTAGAGGAAATTTAATAGCTAGTGAGCTTCAATTAAAAAGAAAAAATAAGTATGATCGTAATATAAACCCTATGACTTATAAACAGCATGATTTTATTTTAATGAAAAATGAAAGCGGCAGTAAGTTCCAAAATATATATTCAGATCCATACCAAGTAATAAGGGAATGTTCACCCAATGTAGAAATAATTAAGGATAATAAAAACTATGTTATTCATAAAAACAGAACGAAAATGTATTTCGAACCAATTACCTAACAATTTTGTTAAAAGTTTATGTACTAAATACTTCAAAAGTTTGTAAAGATAGTAATTATAATATGACATTATACTATATTAACATTCGTAATATGTATAAGCTAAAATAAAATAAATTGTATTGTTTATTTTATTTTTTTATTGCGGTGGAGATGAGATGTAGTGAATAGATTATATTAACTGAACATACTTAACTTTATTAACCTTTGCACCATGGATCTCCAATCCAGACCTTATATGTGCGTGTGTGTGTGTGTAGTGTATAATGTACACACATGTATGTAACTTATAAATTAGAACAACGAATACACAGTCAATCAGTATCATTTGAGCATCCGACATGTTTTATTTCGATCTCCAATCCTGACCGTATACAGCAGCCACAATCTCAGCCACCGGGAGCGCCATATCGAGGTAGAACTTTTAAGAAATATTACAGGGGACACAGACCAAAGACACTTTTAATAAATATTATAGGGGACATAGACAAAGGACAGATTCGGACAATAATAACAGATGAGTCACAGCCTCAATCGAGTTTCTTCTTCTTCTACCTGGCAATTTCCCGGCTATAGCCAGGGTCTGCCATACTTGTTGTGAATAGTTTTGGCTATTTGTTTTTTACGACCGGCCCGCTATAATAACTATAAACGGGATAGGTGGAAAGGTACAGGCTATCGGATACGTATGTTTACAGTTGACAGTACACGGGCAGTAAGTATATTAGTCATAAGTTTTATGTATTTGACACGTTACCTTGTTAAAGTCGCCTGGTATTTTAGGACAAGGCTTTTTAGGAAAGTATGGAGCGGTGATTGATATGAAACATAATAGTCTGTCTTTATGGATCAGTGAATGTAAACAAATATATTTGCAATTAATAGACTTGTGTAGTCATTTATTGTCGTTACCTGCCAGATCAGAATCAATTCACTATATTAATACCAGTTTAAAAGAGGAATGTGTGGTATGAACAAAAGAAGTATGTGAGGGAGTACTATAAGTATATTTATAGCGTGTACGTTAGTATATCCAATTAATGGCAAAATACCAGTTCGATTTTTTGAATACGACCTCAAAAGATATAACTTTGTCTGAAATTAAACTTGATATAGAAAATTTAAAGGAATATAATATTTGTAACTTTAATAAGATCGACAAAAGTGCATCGCGAGTTAAAACACTCTTATCAAAAATGAAGTTAAATAATTTAAATAAAGAGGAAAGGATTAATATAAAAAGTTTATGTGCGAAATATCCCGATATCTTTTATTTTAAAGGGGACAAGTTATCAACCACTGATATTTATCAACACTCAATTAAAGTAAAACCGAATATGTATACAACCAATTTTTTCAAAACCTTATAGATTACGTCATGCTTTAAAAAATGAAATTAAAAACCAAAGTGACCAAAATGGAAGTGATTATTCGGAGTCTAATCATTTTATTTTACAAACAGATATATTTTACAAACAGATGCATCAGGATATTGGGTAGGTGCAGTTTTGTGCAACAGCGACGGTAGGCTTGTAGTCTGTGCCAGTCGTAGTCCTTAACAAAGCAGAAAAAAGGTACCCAACGATTGAAATGGAACTGCTTGCAATTGTATGGGCCGTGAAGCATTTTCGTCTAAATTTGTATGGTAGGACATTCAAAATTCAGACTGATCATAAGCCACTTATCTATTTATTTGGAATGCGGGATCCATCTAGCTGTTTAATTAAATTTAGGTTAGTATTAGAAGAATATGATTGTACTTGAATATTTAAAAGAGAAGAATAATTCTGCTGCTGATGCACTTTCACGATTGCATTTAACTTCTGAGGACTTGAAAGAGATGAATCAAACGGTGATGAATGTAATGACGCGTGGCCAGATGGCTAAACAACAACGGGATGCTATTATTTCTAAAAACGATTGGACTGATCAAACAAAAGTTGTAGAAATACATAGCAAACCGAAATATTTCACGGAATTACGTTTCGTAAGCGCTTATGAATTAAATCGATATCGTAAATTGAAAGAGATAACGTATGAGAAGGGATGTTTGAGTTACGTGCCCTTAATGAATACTATTTTTATTTACCTTCTCGATCGGAACTATCGCCAGGCGAATTTGTGAGAGAGCTGGATATATTTTGTGGGAAAATAAATATTAAAGAAATATACTTTATTAAGACAGAAAAATAATAATTTTGTGGAAAAGTTAATAAATGAAGTAAATAACATAAGTAATTGGTCCGGACCACGAACATATATGTATTTTAAGGGGAACAAAGAGAATAACGGATAAAGACGATAAGTGTATAATTTTAAACGATTTTCATATATTACCCACAAGTGGCCATGCCGGCATAAGACGAATGGTAAATAACATAAAGAAATATTATATTTGGCCAAATTAGAAGCTGATATTACAGAATTTATAAAAAGGTGTGACCAATGTCAAAAACAAAAACATTCCTCACATTATAGTAAGGAACCTATGACAATAAGTTCAACGGCAACTTCAGCGTTTGAGAAGGTATATTTAAATATAGTAGGGCCATTAGACAGAGATTACAATAATTATATGTACATTTTAACTATACAATGTGAGTTGAGCAAGAATACATATTGAGGCCTACCCATTAATATCAAAAAGGTCAGATGAGGTAGCCAGGAACTTCGTAAACAATTTTATTCTCAGGTATGGTATCCCGAAGGAGATAGCTACAGACAGGGGAACGGAGTTTATGTCGGACACAATGAAAGAGGTTTGTAAACTTTTGAATATTAACAAGCTGCAGTCTACCGCTTATCATCATGAAAGCATCGGTGCTTTGGAGAGCTTTAAAAATATACAAATTTATCGATTCTCAACTTGACGTAACCTATTTGCAAAAGGACATAAACAACGTAAATGCATGGTGTAAAGACAATCTGATGGATTTAAATGTTAGTAAATGCTCGTATATAACATTCACTAGGAAGAGGTTGCCAATTGTAACATGTTTTAATATTAACGGAATTTCTCTTACAAAGGTTAACGAAATTCGGAATTTTGGTGTTACAATTGATAATAAACTGACATTTGTGCCCCATGTAGATTGCATAACTAAAAAATCTATGCAAATGCTAGGGTTTTTAAAACGCAATACAAAGATGTTTAAAAATCCCCACACCCAAATTATACTGTTTAACGCATTAGTCCGTCGTCAGTTAGAATATGCTTCATTGATTTGGAACCCAACTTATAGTACTTATACACAGTCAGCGCATCGAACGACTCCAGCGAGCGTAACTTACTCGTTACTTAGCATTTCATTCTCATGAAATATCATTCAGATGCCCGTATGAACAACGTTTAATTCATTTTGGCATGAAGAACTTGCATGCTCGACGTTCAATTCATGATTTAATGATTATGTTTAATATCGTAAACGGTAACATTGATAGCAGCCATCTACTAGCTCAGCTTACTATTTCGGTACCTAACAAAATTCCTCGTCAACGCATAACTAAAATTTTTTACCATCCAAGAGTTCGAACAAATCTAGGTGCGCATTCTGCACTTGCTAGGATGTGCAACTTATACAATCTCCTAAATAAAGAGACAACAGATTTGGACATGTTTCACGATTCATTTTCTAAATTCAGACATACTTTGCATAAATATCTCTAAAATTGTAACTGTTTCACTTTTAATTTATGTGTTGTTTTTATTGATTAGTGTTGTTTTTTTTTATTTTTTTATTGTAGAATTAATTTAATTAGATTAAGGTGTTGTTGTTGTTGAAAACTTTTTAGACAGTGCTGTGAATACCTGTAATAGGTGTACATATGAAGACCTATACTTTTGACTATATTTTTGTGTAAATGTTGCATATGTGTACTGTTGGTGTTCCTAAGTAAATAAATAAATAAATAAACTCTCACAAACATCTAGGTAACTATTTGCGAATACAGAGAGGCAATCACTCAGAAGCTTGGAGCATGTGGCTTCCATTTTGGTGTTTTTCCCATAACACTGCAGTACATACGGAGTCTAATTTCACTCCCTATGAGTTGGTGTTCGGTAAGAAATGTATTTTACCATGTAATTTGCAATCAGCACAAGTTGATCCTTTGTACAATTTTGGTAATTATCCTTTAGAACCCAAATTCAGCAGAATGATTTGATTTAAATTGATGTAAGTTCCAAAACATATATTCAGGTCCATACCAAGTAATAAGAGAATGTTCACCCAATGTAGAAATAATTAAGGATAATAAAAACTATGTTATTCACAAAAACAGAACGAAAATGTATTTCGAACCAATTACCTAACAATTTTGTTAAAAGTTTATGTACTAAATACTTCAAAAGTTTGTAAAGATAGTAATTATAATATGACATTATACTATATTAACATTCGTAATATAAGCTAAAATAAAATAAATTGTATTGTTTATTTTATTTTTTTTATTGCGGTGGAGATGAGATGTAGTGAATAGATTATATAGTCCGGTCAAATCAGACATTCGAGGTTACATAAATTCCCACCAAGCTGAAAATCGGTAAGATTGAAATATCATTAAAAACAAAATTTGAAAGTTCCCCATCTTTCTCCTGTAAGGAAAAAAAAATTCAAGGTCAAAGGTAAACAAAATGAGTTTTTCGCGATTTTCAGAAAAACGGTAAGTTTTATCATAAAAATATCTCAGACAAAAATTGGAGATCATAAAATTATCTACAAAGAATTAATTGATACTTTTTGTTCTACGAGCCACCGTTTTTAAGATAGGTATAACGATTCAAAAAGTTGTAATCGTCATAATATGCATGAGTACGCCACGTATATGTATACTCGTACATCTCTATAGTTGTAATATATGTTAAAATATTTTTACACTTTACTTCTACCTGCGCCTGAAAAACTGAACTCGATTTTTTGCAACTGCAAAAACTGCAGTGCTAAATGTGGTTGCAAAAAAGTCGGACTGTCCAATTCTCCGGCATGTACACATTGTCAAGGCCGGTTGTGCTCTAACATTGAATCACAAACACACAACCAACACTAACAGTAGAGGATCCGTTTAATTCCAACGATATCCGTTTAATTCCAACATGCAGTTTCATGCATCGCTATTATATATATATATATATGTGTGTATTATATAATATATAACGCAGTTTACATCCACTCAGGATGAAGATGAAGAAAAAAAAGAAGAAGTATTTAAAAATTACGACATCGGACGATTAAATTTCACTACTTTTTTTTTAACTTAAATTGATTTTATTTTTTCAATCTCTGCTAATATCCATTATTTATCAATAATTTCAAATTAAACAAGATCAAAACTGACCCGTGGAATAAACCTACTGGGGAAAATACAAAAAAAAAGCTAAGTACACTACCTCATAGGTGGCGAGGAAACGTGTGCATATTATGACGATTACAACTTTTTGAATCGTTATATCTCAAAAACGGTGGCTCGTAGAAAAAAAGTATTAGTAAATTCTTGGTAGATAATTTTATGATCTACAATTTTTGTCTCAGATATTTCTATGATAAACTTACTTTTTTGCGGAAAATCGCGAAAAACTAATTTTGTTTACCTTTGACCTGGAATAAATTTTTTTCCTTACAGGGGAAAGATGGGGAATTTTCAAATTTTGTTTTTAATGGTATTTCAAACAATCTTACCGATTTTCAGCTTGGTGGGAATTTATGTAACCTTACTGTTATTATTTGGTCTAATTTGACCGGACTAATATTAACTAAACATACTTATTAACCACTAGCTTTTGCCGCGGCTTCGTCCGCGTGGCACAGTGACTTCCGACAGATTTTTGGTTTTTCCCACATAGTTCCCGTTCTTGCGGGGTTTTCGGAATGGTCGAGTTCCCGTAGAATTTTCAGGATAAAACCTATGTTTTTTTTGTATTAATAATGAAGTACTCTGAACCAACAACATAATTATTTGTTTATATGAATAAAGATTAGTATTATTATGTTGATACAACTTAAACAAAATATTTCGACCAAATTAGGTACCATAAAAACTGTTTTTGTGTGTTAATCTTAAGAGATAGACATATACTGTCGTGGACTGTTTTTTAGATCATTAAAAGAGCTATTATTCTTTAATATATATTTTTTGTGTATCTTGAACCGTTTTCACGGCGCACGCAACGGAAGGCTTCAAAGATGAAATAATTTCTCCCGTTTTTTTACACATTTACCACTATATCTTTGCTCCTATTGGTCGTAGCGTGATGTTATATAGCCTACAGCCTTTCTCGATAACTGGACTATCCAACACAAAAAGAATTATTCAATTCGAACCAGTAGTTTCGGAGATTAGCGCTTTCAAACAAACAAACAAACAAACAAACAAACAAACTCTTCAGCTTTATAATATTAGTATAGATTATATTATACTACGTAAGCTAATTTTGTACCTATTTAATGTATGATCTATTGAAATAACTGCAGTATCTATTCAGCAGTCTCGGCTTTGATTCCTCTCTCAGGGCACCAAATTACACAGCCCTCTCAGCCGCCGGACTCCTTCAATGAAAATTTCGTCATTAATCAGTTTTAGAGATATAATCTTACTAAAACGGAGTCGATGTCGGCGAAGTGGTAAATAAAACGAATCATATTCATATACATCGTTTTTATTAGGTACAATAAATAAATATTTAACACTTATTAATATTGATAAAATTGAGTAAATATTAAGTGGACCGAGGAGAAGTACCGTCCGTGATTCTCTCGCACTCAATACAGAAACGTTTCTAAGAGCGACGCGCGCCTCCCGCCCCCACCACCGGCCGTGTGACGAGCGACATGCGACAACTAACATTACGATAAACATTCATCGATACATCGAAATGGGAAAGTTTAGTAAGCACAAGAAAACGGCACGATACTGACTAAGAAAAATACTCTTCTTTAAAAGGACGAACGGTCATCTCGAACGAGTCGACTCCCGAAGCTCACGAGGATAACATTCTATGATAACACCGAGCGATAGATACCATTAAAACTTGTACGACTAGCCGACGAGGTCGAGGTCCGCGAACAGCTCCCCGCGCGTGGCCACCGTGAGCGCGTAGTGCGTGTTCAGCTGGAGCAGCAGCTCGCGCTCGTCCAGCATCTCGAGCGCGTCCACCCGCGAGCGCTCGTCCTCGGGGAAGGAGCGCCACACGGTCTCCATGTCCCACGAGCGCGCCGCGTCGAAGCCCAGCGACACGAGGCGCTCGGCCTGCGCCGCCGGCTCGCGGCAGTGCTCGGCGCCGGCCAGCGGGCAGCCGCGCGCGCTCAGGTTGCGCAGCATCACCTCGCCGAAGCGGTCGGACAGGTTGCACTGCTCGTACAGCAGCAGCACGCAGCGCGGGAAGGCGGCGGCCAGGTGGCGGAGCAGCGCCAGCGCCGCCTCGGGCCGCAGGTACACCAGCACGCACTCTGCGAGCAGCAGCGCGGGCGCCTCGGCCGTGGCGCCGGCCGCCTGGAGCTTGCGGCGGACCTCCTCCAGACACCGCAGGTCGCAGCCCAGCAGGTGGTAGCCATCGGAGTGGAGGTCACCGGACCTGATCACAACCTCGCCATCTGGAAAAACATTCTATGTTGATTATTTCTAACTATTCAAAAACAATTAAAACCGCGACTGTGGCAGGTTTAAACTTTGGACATGGAATACTATTTGCAAAATGGATACAGCATCAGTCTTTGGACTTAACATATAAAAAACAAAATGTTGGTTATGAGGAGTGAAATGATATTATCTGTATCTATTAGGTCTATTAGCATACCTTCCTTGCAAATCTTCTCCAGTAGCTGCTTGTTACGTTTGATGATGTGACATTTCTTGCTTGTTACCGATGGAAAGTCCAACTCTATGAAGTTGCTGACGGCTTGTGTGGTGTCCTTGAGACGCCAATACAGAGTATCAAAACCACATCCCAGGTTTATGATCTGACACTTAGTACCACATCTCTACAACATACCACAGAGATATTACAATACAATGAAAAAATATTGCCAATTAGAATAGGGAGTCTCTACTTACAATCTAACAATAGGGGTAATTGTAGAACGTATTCTTTTTATTTCGAAACAAATAGAGCAGTTAAGTTACATCTACATACAATTGAATTTAACCCATACCTCTAAAAATTGATGAATAAACATTTCCATGGCTCGAACTCTCGCATAATATCCACGATTTATTTCTGGAGCTTTTCGATCGACATGTTTAGCAAAGTATGAAATGTATTCATCTTTCCAATAACCCAATTCAACTGCACACCGCTTGCATTCAGTAGCATCCGTGTTTGTAGCAATGATAGCCTCGTCTTCGGCACTCCAAGATATTATATTATTCATGATTGCACTTTACTGAATACTCGGTAAATTGGGTACCGGTTAGAAGGACGAAATTTTACTTATCATGGCAAAATATTAAATCTCAACAAAGATGGTGATAATAGATAGTAAATATGTATTGACTTTTGTGGAATATGAAATATTGTTTTCTTTGACAGATACTGAGATTCGGACATTAAAGAGTACAGACTAGATTGAGAAGTGCATATAAAAATAACATGGTACGGATCTATCAACTTAGTGTATTCATTGCAATAAAAATAAGTCGATCTTAAATTCCTTAAGGCTTTTTATTAATTAAATATTATTTAAAAGCCAATCAAAAACAAAATTGTTCCTTTTAATTTTTCCAAAATATATAACGCTTTAACATTTCTTTTTCGTTGTAACAAATAACAACTAATGGCATTTCTGAATTCTGACTATATATCAAAAATTTAATGAATGGAATAAATCTCTTTAAAAGAAGTATTAAAATCTTAATCACACTACAAAAAAAAGTATAAAAGAGCACTATAGACTTCTGGATTTACTTAGTAATGACACTATATGACACTTCTGAACTGTCAATGGTCCAAACTCTGATTATCGATTTTAGATTTGCTAGTTCCTAGTTATAATAAAGGGATACTTCTGAATTAGGTTTCTAATAAATTCGATTAAGAGTAGTTAAAAGATTATCTTATAAATATATATTTTGTTTTTAAGTGCAGCAGCTCTTACTTCTGTTCATAAATTCAAACGAAACTCCAACATAATTATGTTTTCTGTTAAGAAAAATTAATATTCGATGTTTTTTTTCTCACTTACTATACATTTAAAATGGCTTGTCACATATTGCCTATAATATTAGTCAGCGCGGGTGATAGAGCGGATGCTATTAAATTCATAGAAGGTAACTTACATTTATTGTTTCGGCTATCGAAGCATTTTAATTTCTAGAAACGAAGTGATAAGGTATGATGTATCTTTTGTAATAAATATGTTCTTTTAGACGTTACCAAAGGTCAGGTGGTAGAGTTTGAGAATTGGACAGAAGGGAGCAAAGTGTGGGTGATTACGAATAAGTATTACCATGCACAAGTGCAGTTGAAACCATTGGACGATAGTCGTCAGTTGCCAGACGTGTGGGAGCATCGAGTGGAGGCTCATGTGATCTATATTACTGAGGCCGAGGTGTGTGCCCATTTTATTTACATTTTATGGAACTTCATATTGTCACTTTATACTATTTTATAATGTACTTATTGAAACTCATTTCATTATCAGTATATTGTGTATATAAATCACTCTGACTAAAAATATATGGAGCCACACCATGGTGTGTCAATTCATGGTCACACACACACACACACACACATGTAAATGTGATAGATATATAGGTTCACAAAACACAATACATAAAATGGGAGAAATTTGAATTTGGTTCCAGCATAGATAAGTGGAGAAGAAAAAAAGATTATTAGAATGTCAGGTATCAGGAACAATAGTAAATATGAATGTTAAAGTATATGTGGCTGAGGAAAGAATGAAGCTTGGGTGATGAGATAGCTTGAAAGAGAAGTGTTTGTTGACAATTTGTTGTTAGACTTATGAACATGATCCTTGGGGTTTAGAATTAAAAACATGGTAATATATAATAAAAAGGAGAAGGAGCCTCTCGTGGCGGAGCTGGCCGAGGAGCGTCGCTCGCGAGCTCTGCGGGGCGAGGCCCGCGCGCTCGTGAGGCTCGTGGTGTGTGCGGGAGAGGTTTCCGCCACCAGCCTGGGCGGGGACGCGCTGCGCTCCTGGGCGCGCCGACACAGGTACGAACTGGTGTCGCTCACCGAGGAGCCCGAGCCCGACTCACACGGAGCCAGCGACGGACCCTTCCCGGAGACCTACGGGCTAGACCGGGTCCGCGACACGCTACACGCGCACCCCTGGCGCGGCCTGGAGAGGATCGACCGACCCGCGGACGACGAGCCCGGCCCGCCCGCTGAGGTCGCCGCGCAGGGCTCCGACGACGAGGACGATGACCCCGAGGTGGCGGTGGAGCGCGCCGAGAGGTTCGCGGCGGCGCTGGGTGCGCTGGGCGCGGCGGGCGGCGCGGGGGGAGGGCTGGCAGAGCTGCCGGCCGAGGAGCGCCTCCTCGCCGCCGAGCAGCTGGTGGCCGAGTTCTGCCGCGCCCTGGGCGTGGACCTGCCGGCGCTGTGACTCGAGGAGAGGCGGGAGGAATGAAACCATGTTTCGGAGCGTTATATTCGTTTATTTATTAAAAATGATAAAAGTGTGATATGTGCGACTCAGCCGCGCGGTGGAGGCGTTCTCTAACATCACAGACGTCGTATTCATTAATTATTATCTTTTTGGACGAACGCGTTATATGTACTCTTGTAAAAGTATTTTATTTATATTATAATACACATATATATATTCTAATAAAGTTTTCATTTCGATCATCTTTTATTCTTCTCTAACCTTTTTATATATTTATTAAACACATGTAAAATGGGATTTGAAGGTTTGTGCGTTAGTTTCTCTAAATATCTCACAATTGACAATGAACCTCGTGTATACTTCGTATCCTCGAATCCCATTTCCCGCGTGTGGGAGTTCCTTCTCCCTATATATATTATTAATAATGTTACATCACAGTCAACTTGTTCATATTAAGGCCGGTTCACTCGTTCTTTACGTCGATAAGTAATAGACTTAGTAAATTATAATATTTACTAATAGGAATCTGTCTTTATCAAGACTATAAATAATCTCTTATACATATAACAATACAAAGCTAACAATAACATGATCATATAACTCCAGATTAAAACTAATCGTAAAAAAATAAATAATAACAATGATAGGCGACAGGTGTAAAATGTCATGTGTAAGTGGTGAGTATGAAGTATGAACGCTCCTCGACCGGTGTTGCTAGTTAAAGTCGTTGTACTTGTTATTGTGCGGGCGGTTCATTCATTCATTAATAGATTTAATCTCAAACGATTCCGCTAGTGTTGCGTTAGCAAACATTAAATTATATAACGTGCTCGTGCGAAGTGACGACCCTACCGCTCACTACGAAACGATAATACGATACTCTTCGTATTTTATAAAAATCAAAAATTAACAGCGACTTGACTCAATCAAAAGATACGGTCAGAAAATGACGAGGTGACGGTGTCGTCACAAAACTTATCTAATCATGTACACCAAGGAATACTGTGACGGTGCTGGAGGGGGCGGTCTTCAGGCGGGTGTGAGGGGGCGCGGGGAGGACAGCAGCGCCGAGAAGTACTGGTGAGCGAGACGGGCGATGTACTGCGAGTGAGACGAGCGGGAGGGGGGCGCCGGCCACCAACCTTCCAGGAAGCCGATGTGACCGCCGCGAGCTGTCACCGCCAGCGCCACGCACGGACTGCGCTCCACCTCCGCGAGGGGCAGCACTGACGACAACAACACACACAGATGACACGAGACACACACACACAGTCATAGAGGGGCAGGGAGACGCACTTACCGTCCAGAGGCTGGAAGGGGTCGTCGGCCGCGCACAGGCAGAGGAGGGGCACGCGCACGCGGCTCAGCTTGTCACAGAGAGTCGCCGCGCGGTAGTAGTCGTCGACGGAGGGGAAGCCGAAATGTTTGGTAGTGAAGGCCTGGTCGAACTGACGCACGGACCGGCAGCGCTCCACGGCCGCCCAGTCGCCGGGGCCGCTCCGGAGAGGAGAATGAGAGTTGACCGTGTTGCGGAGGTTACGGGCCATGTGCCAGGACAACAACGAGTTGAGAGGAGGACGCTCGATACACTCCGCACCTGAGGACAAGAGGAGCGTCCACAGTCACCGGAGAGGAACCGACCGAAAGAACATCGGGACGGACGGAGGCCGGCTCACCCCGCACCACGTCCAGGGGAGAGGACACCACGAGCGCCGCGTGCAGCGTGTGGGCGGCGCGCTGAGCGTGCTCCGTGAGGTAGTGACCGAGGATGAGGCCTCCCAGAGACACGCCCACGGCGAGCAGCGGCGCGCCGCGGGGATGGACCGCCTCCACCACCTCCGCCAGGTCGGCGTGTGACACGGCGCAGTACAGCCGCGGCGTCTGGAACGAAACAAACACTAAACACTCATTTGTAAAGTCATCATCGCCATTCTCGTATGTATCGTGTGATAGGGTCGTACGGTGAGCGGCAGCCCGCCGAGCCCGCGGTTGTTGAAGACGACCGCGTGCGCGCCGAGCCTGCCCGCGGCCGCCACCAGACACCGCACGTAGTCGGCCTGCGCGCCGCCCGTCAGTCCGGGCAGCACGAGCACCACGGGCCGGCTGCTCCTCTCCCCGGCCTCGTCCGTCAGCTCGGCCCAGTCCAGAGCCACCTGCCCGCCGTCTGACAGTCGCAGCACCTCACTACAAACACACACACATATGTAACGCTACTTGACATATTTTGATGTTTTGAATAACCATTCATTTTTGTTTATGAGTAAGTAAATAAGAAAAATTACAGTCCATTCAATTCGTCTCTGGAACTCTCTTCCACTAGAAGCAAGACATGCACCATCTAAGACTTCTTTTAAAAAAATGATAAAAGAGCACTCACACAATCTTGCTTCATGAAGAAATACTACAATTTCATAAATATTTTATTTATTATGTACATATTGTATGTAAATGTATATATTTATAATGTGTATGTATATTATATAATTATATATTTATGGAATATTTATTTATTTATCATATATATATATTGTATCTATTTTTTAAGTAATTTGTACACCCCTACCATCCCATCTCTCTCCTCTACCAAAAGTTGCCTGGAAGAGATCTCTGTTTTAGCGATAAGGCTGCCTATTGCACATTTTTCTTTTCTTTTTTTCACTCCTATTCTTTTTGTCTATATTGGTGTGCAATAAAGAGTATATAACTAAATAAATAAAAATTATGAACGAGGAAATTTTTCATTGAAATTATCTCTTTTAACAAAATAGTAAACTAAATGTGATTTTGATTTTTGATATGACATATTAGAATATTTTCAAAAAATATTTTGGTAATAGAAAGTTATAAATATTCATTATCTCTTTCTTGGTAGTTTCTCTCTCTCACACAACCATTTATTAAATAATTTTTATACATTACAGTTCATTATGGTCTGGTTTTTATTTTAGGAATTTTAGATGGCAAAATAACTGCATTTAGTTTTTTGAGAATTAACCATACAGTTCCCTAATCAATGTTTTCCAATTTACTCTCATGTATTATTACTAAAATAAAAATTATACTTGTCTATATGAAAAGTCATTTTGTTTTCATAATTCTCATGTATGGAGGTAAATTACCTTCTTTATATGTAAAATTCAAAAATAATTTATCTATGTTGTGAAAGTTTTTTTAATACATTACTGCGGTACACCTTTATAGACTAAAAAATAAAATTATTTCTACAGTACTAAAAAAATATTATTTCTAAATAGTTCTGGTAGATAATTAAATTGAAAACAATACCGTCGATAAGCAACTGGTGGTAGTAAATGTGACCGAAGAACAGAGCCCAGTACAGTTTGCAATCGAGACTCCACGCACCAAGGAGTAGGCCAATAAGGCTCACTCAACAATGGGACATTATCCTCGAGTAATTGACGGAACTCCCCCTTACGACATACCAGCATCGGTTTCTACAAGTTTAAGCGACAAATATAAAATGCACATCCACGAGGAAGATAGCAATGTTTCCACATAATTATAGAACCACGATGATTAATTTCACCTTGACGACTTCCACAAGATAATAGGTTATATACAGCAAAGATAGTGAAAAGCATACTAGAAACTCCTTCTTTACTTCAAAAATATACCAAAACATTCCTAACATTATGAAGGTTTGAAGGTATGCTATGAAACTAAATCTTAATCAGCTCTGAAGAGTCTCATATATCACATTGCTGACAATTGCAATTATTATTGTTCAAAAAGGTCTATCTAATCTCTATCCAACATAAGAATTTAGACATTATTGTCAATTGTCAAGTTTGATGTGTGTGTTTTTTAATTCCTTAAAAAAAAACTAGGCAACACTCTACATGTCTTAAGGAAAGTTTAAAAAAAAGTTTTATAATGGCATATAAGGATTAATTATTTATGTATCATCTCGTTTATGTAAAAGATACGAAATAAAATATTTGTTTAATGTTTTGCCTTGTCTTCTTTCTAAAACTAATGAATTCGCTGGAAATGAAAGTTTATAAAAGTTAATTGAAGAAAACAAAAGTTACTCCAACTAGGTAGATAGAAAAAGTATATTACGGCAGGGACACTGCTAGGGTGGGAGATGTCTATTAAAATGCCCTCGGGTCGTTTCACCGCCCATATTATAAAGTTTGAAAACAATAACTTCCAATTAGTAAGGCCTGCCTGTGATAATGTACAGAGCTGAAATATGACTACTCATATTAAAACTTATCAACTAGTTTCGTGTTACTTAAAATGTTATGGAGTTTTGAAAGGGCTATGTTGGGAGTTTCTCTAGAAGACGAATCTGAAAGTTTTCCGTCAGATACCTAAGGCAAGCGACTGTTGAAACTTTAAAATAAAAGTTCAGATACAGTAATATATTTCATTATTTATGAGTGTACAAAATAAATCTGTGACGACATATAAAAAAAACATCACTGCAACAATTAGTTTTCCATGTAATTAAAAAGAGATGTGTGTGTGATCTCATTACATGGACAGATCAGAGGGTGGAAAGGTAAAGTAGTTGTGGATAGACCAGACATAGGTCAGAACCGATGGCAGTTTTGTTAGAATGGTTTGGTTGTGAGGACTGCGAATAGGAAATTGCTAACTGTAAATGAAGTACAGGACGTAGCTGTAGCTAAGTGAAGGGATGAAGACCGAGCTCGGTGACGTGTTATGGGAGAGACATAGCTACATCCCAATACTTCTCCTCAAAATCTTAAATTTAAAAGGTACAGCTAATTAAGAATATGTCTCAATACTTTCACATTATTTAAGATTGATAATATAACTGCAAATTTTATAATATAAACATGATAATAAAAATAAATAATTTGAACAAATTCTACATTAAGAGCTCTAAGAATCGTTGTTCACGTTTATTAAGAAAGTAATTTTTTAAATTTATTTTGTATCCATTAATATATTTTACTTAAACCAGTACTACTAAAACTGTAACCCACTTAGTTGGGTACCTAATGTAAGTCTATTCTGTCAAGTGTCAAATGAGAACAAACTTCATACTATATACACTAAAGTCTCTGTTTATGTCAATTCTATTTTGTCATTTTTTATATACTTGTTAGTTCCGTAACTTTTTTGTTAATTTGCAATCTACCTTGTCCAAATAAGCAGGCTTATTCTACTGTTATTGGATATTTGACGATTGTATGAAATTAAGGGTTTGAAAAAACCTACAATAAATCGTTTTAGTATACAATGATATAAACCAATAAAGTGCCTTGTATTTATTTTCTTTTTTAATATTAAAAGTAGTGGGTGATAGTGAAGATGAAAGGATCCAAGATGGTAACGTGCGCAAGTCGCTGCTTCGGTGGCAGCAAGCGACTTCTTCCTATGCGGAGGTAAGTCCAAAGTACAGTTACATTTGTCCTACTTTCTAAGCCATCACCTTGGACTTTGATCTGTTTCCCAAATAGATCTTTGATCAAGGACAGTGACGTACTTTAATTTGTTCTATGAGCCAAGGTTCCAAACTGTGACTTATGTACTATGATGTAGATTAATAAATGTAGGTAAGACCTGTTGAACATTACGTCTGAGAGGAGTGAACTGGTTGAGGTGTCATAATAATTATAAAACTAGATCATAGAATATGGTTTAAAATTTATAACATTATGGAACTGTTTTGTACCAAACAAATAGAGCTTTATAATAAGGATACAATACTTGATGGGGTCATAAGAATTGTAAATAAATTTCAGTAATATTTAAAGGAGTTGTTTTGTGTAGTATTAAAATATTTGGCACATAGTTTTTTCTTTCTTTATTAATATATTTAAAACAAGAATTAGGATCTTATAAGATCTTTGATCACATAACAAGACACATTGACATTATTTTATTAATTGGAGTATAATGTATCTGTATGTCTAGTGGGCATAATGTTTTAATTGCACTGACAAGTGTTGATTCTGTTCCTGGTGTTTATAAACCATTCTACATCTTAATTAGTTATGTAATGAAGATGACATTGTATAATTATATTGTAATAGAGTCATAGGTGAAACAAACCAATGACAAATTCTGAAACAAAGTAATTATTGATATTTGGTACATTTTTTTTAATAGTGTTTATTTATAGTCTGACTTAGATAATGTTTGAACACATCACAACAGCATGTGGTGCCTCTCCTTACACTGTCCTTAAATGTCATATAACATTTATAAAATTGATCTGTGGATGATTATTTCTATACACGTCTCTTCATGTGATGTTAAGGCAATAATCAAAGCTATTAATGATAAGTTCCATTATAAACATCAGCAGACAAATGACAATAGTCTACTAATTAGTTCCAATAAATCTCAATTATATGATTATAATTGGAAGTAAGTAAATGGATTATAAAATTAATATCGAACTTTGCCCCGTAGAACTCACAAGTGTCACAATAATGTATCTTGAGAAGGTAAACAACTGAAGTATATTTATAGATAGTCATTTGTCTTGGACAGTCTAAATGTATGAAGTGAGTTGATGAATTCACACTTCCTCATATCCATTTTAAGCATTTGTTATTTAAGTTTAACCTTACCTCAACATGAAAATATTTCCGAATTCCCTCCATGAGATAAATTGTCTACAGTCTGACTTTACTGGAATATGTATGTTTTAACACTAATAAAAAAATATTCCAATATTATCCTTCCCTGTAAATACTTTTGAATGACTCAAACTTTCCTCCCTTAGAGTCATGCCTGAATGCTGCAGTTTTGCACAAAATTCTCATCATATCTCTTAATATTAATTCAATATTCTTTCGTAAATACTCCTCCGACCGAGGTGCGCAGCTTACGCACACACTTTCCGATTTCTATATTATATGTGTATCCTTTCCTTTAAATCTCAACTTAAAAAATATCTTCTTTCATTGTCATTTTCAACTATGTTATTTTTTTTCCCTACTCCGCATATGTCCGTCTTTATGTACAAATAATGTTTAATTGTTGGTAAGCTCATGTATGTACATCTTTTCTCAGTCGCTGCATGGCGACGGCCGCGGCCGCCGAGGCTCCCCGCGGCGCCCGTCAGAGTACTTCCTTCACTCTCAACCTGTTCCGAGGTCAGTTCGAGCCGACGCAGGTGTTCCCGTTCCCGGAGCCGCTGTCCGAGGACCAGCGCCAGACTCTCACTGAACTCGTTCCACCGGTCGAGAAATTCTTTCAGGAGGTTAGGTCTCTTACCGCAGTCTGTTCATCGCTCATTTACCGAATGCTGTTAACGAGATGTCGTTGTAGGTGAACGACCCGGCCAAGAACGACGCGGACGCACAGATCGAGGAGGCCACTCTTTCGGGACTGTGGGACCTGGGCGCCTTCGGTCTCCAGGTGCCCACGGACTTGGGCGGACTGGGACTGTCCAACACACAGTACGCGCGGCTGGTGGAGGTGGTGGGCGCTCATGACCTGGGCGTGGGCATCACGTTGGGTGCTCACCAGTCCATCGGTTTTAAGGGCATATTGCTTTTCGGCACGCCAGAACAGAAGCAGCACTACTTACCGCGCGTCACGGGTGGAGAATATGCAGCTTTCTGCTTGACAGAGCCTTCCTCGGGCTCCGACGCCGGCTCTATTAAGTAAGTCAGTATGTAGTCAGTGTTTATGATCACTCCCCGCTCGGCGCCTGTTGTAAGTGTTATGTTTGAAATATTACAGAACGAGAGCGGAACTGTCTGCCGACGGCAAGCACTTCATTCTAAATGGATCCAAAATTTGGATCAGCAACGGTGGGATCGCCGAGATCATGACCGTGTTTGCTCAAACACCCGTCGAGAAAGACGGAAAAAAAGTAGATAAAGTGAGTACGGAACTATACAAACATGAATTAAAACATGTAGGAACTTAAATTCCTTTGAGGAACCTAAATATAATTCATAACTTTAGAAACAAATACAGAAAAATTCTTCTTGATAAACAACAACAAAATACTATTTGAATTATTCACCTATGTTTATTTTAAATACAATATATTTATATTTTATTGAATATACCTAAATGTATAAATATATATGCTTGGGTGTGTGTTTGTATGTGATTACATATGAGAGTGGTTGTCTTTGTATATACAGGGTGGCTGGTGAATTACTATCGATACTTGAGGACGTGATATTTGACGATCATATATGACAAAATAAAAATTAATATAACACAAATATTAATAAACTTCTAAGTAAAGTTAACCAAAAGTTATGTAATTAATTACGCATCGTGTGAACACCCTACAGGTTAGGTATACACACACACACACGCGTCCACACTTGGAACACTTGGAACGTGTCCACACTTTATTTATTTATACGGAAATTTGGTCAAAAATTAAGTCCCCATTTTTTTTACATAATTCGAATGAGAATCATGTACCGAGTATTCTCCTTAAATATTGATAATAATTCACCAGTCACCCTGTATAGATATATATGACATAACTATGATAATTCTATATAATTTTATATAATATATATATGTGTGTGTATTTAAAATATATAGTCACATCTACTCACCTTACAGAGCATGTTCCATTAGCAAAGTGGAGTATTGACCAGACGTGGTTAGTATAATTAGTGAAGAGATTTTAACTTCTAATTGATTGTTATGATATTTGTTAAACGGTAGGTAATACAGTAGGGAGTAATATTATGGCTTGGATCAACTGGGTGCACGTCCCGACATGCTTGCGACTTTCTGTAATGATATGTTCATTGTAATTAAAATACCTACGATAAATACAAATTCTTAAAAGTAATATTATTACATTTGAGATTATATTAAAATACAATATAAATTAGAATAGTATTTTGATTAGTATATATTACTCACGTAATTTATTTTTACTTTCTTTTTTCTCTCCTCATTGAAGAATGATGTATTTTTTTTTACACGATATAATATTTTAGGCTATCGTCAATGTCGTTCGCTTGACGTACAAAAATAAGGTGATCACTGAAAATCAGCGATGTCGTTCCTGGCAATTTCACATTATATTATTATATTAAGTAAATAAAAAGAAATATAAACCTGTAGTTTTTTTTTTATTATTATTGTTTTTTCTGTGCGTGGAATTCCTAAAACGACAGCATATGCTGAGTGATTCTCCTTTTTGTGATATCATACTGCTGTGTAGGCAGCATTTTGTTTTGATTTATTTATACCTTCTGTTCTATAATTTTCATTAGATATTATTTAATTGTATTGTTATTTTATATTTTTGTTGTTTATTTCTGTTTATGTTAGTGTGCTGTCTCGCGAAGATGTTCACAAATAAAACATTTTCTTTATTTCTGTTTCTTTCTTTCTAATTACGTTGTATGACGTCCGTTGTTGTGTTGTAGGTGACGGCTTTCATTGTGGAACGATCGTTCGGAGGAGTGTCTTCGGGTCCTCCCGAGAACAAGATGGGTATCAAGTGTTCAAACACCACGGAGGTGTACTACGAGGACGTGCGGGTGCCCGTAGAGAACGTGCTGGGCGGAGTGGGGAACGGGTTCAAGGTGGCCATGAACATCCTCAACAACGGCCGCTTCGGCATGGCGGCGGCGCTCGCCGGCACACAGCGCGCCGCCCTCAGGCAGGCCGCGGAGCACGCCGCCACTCGCGTCCAGTTCGGGAAGCGGCTGTGCGAGTTCGGCTCCGTACAAGAGAAGCTGGCTCGGATGGCCATGCTGCAGTACGTGACGGAGTCGCTCGCCTACATGGTCAGCGGCAACATGGACGCCGGCCACCAGGACTACCACCTCGAGGTCCGTCACCCGACCTGCTGCGGCCGACTGACACACAGACAGACGGAGTAACAGGCTCGTGTGTTCACAGGCGGCGGTGTCCAAGGTGTTCGCGTCCGACTCCGCGTGGAAGGTGGTGGACGAGGCGATCCAGATCCTCGGAGGGATGGGCTTCATGAAGGCCACGGGGCTGGAGCGCGTGCTGAGGGACCTGCGCATCTTCCGCATCTTCGAGGGAACCAACGACATCTTGCGGCTCTTCGTCGCTCTCACCGGTGAGGAGCGCTCTACGCCTGCGACGCCCTTTCTGTCATTTTGAACTGAACTTAAAGAAAGTCATCCAATTTTCAGGAATTCAGTTTGCGGGCTCGCACCTCCAGGAAGTGATGCGCGCCTTCAAAAACCCGACGGCACATCTCGGACTCATTTTTAGCGAAGCTGGAAAGCGCGCCGGACGGGCCGTCGGGTTCGCGCGGGGCGCCGACCTCGACCCGCTGGTGGCGCCGGCGCTCCGCCCCGCGGCGAGGGAGCTGGCTCGCCGCGTGCTAGAGTACGGGGCGTGTGTGGAGGCCGCGCTCCGGAAGTACGGGCGCGGCGTGGTGGACGAGCAGCTCGTGTTGAACAGCCTGGCCGCCGGGGCCATCGACGCTTACACCGCGGCCGCCGTCCTGTCGCGAGCCTCGAGGGCGCATCGCCTGGGGCTGCCGGCCGCCGACCACGAGCTGGCCCTGGCCGAGACCTGGACCGAGGAGGCCGTGGACCGCATGGGGGCGCTGGCCGGCGCGCTGGCCCCGCGGGCCCTCAGACACGGCTCGCGGCTCACGGCCCTGGGGCGCGACGTGGCCGCCGCCGGAGGACAACCCTCGCGCTCCCCGCTCGGCCTGTGACCGGCCCCCGGTGTTAGTCTCATCACCGTTAGAGTAAGCGTAAATATTCTGATAGCTATTTAATGTTATACTGTATACATGTAAAATATATTTTTTGAATACATTTCTGTCGTTTTTTTGGTTTACTTTCGGGAGAGTGGTGAATATAGTGTGTATGCTATATTATAGAATTAAGTCTAGTGTAAAGTTTCCTTTATAAAACATCTCATGTATCCATCCAAATATGGTGGACCACCCATTGGCCCAAGCTTTCATTATGCTATATTAAAATCTTCTAATATTATTAAATACGACTTAAAGCTCCAAAGACGTTTCTTTACAAACCCAGTAATTAAGCACATTAGATGGCGACCCTGCCAGTAGTTTCCGTTTTCTGCTCGGTTTTCATTATAATATTACGATATTATTTTAAAATTACAATAATTCAAGTATGTGACAAACATCGCAATCGAAAGAAGATATAATTATTGCACAAAATGCTGCGGGCTCCAGTGGAAACCAAGCTTCTATTGAATAACTCAAAACGAGCATCGGAACAACAAATAATCTCATGGGAATAGTATGTAGTCTTCGTTATATTTCTGGCCACCATCATCGTAGTTTACAAGATTTACAAGCGATGACATAAAAGATGGATCCGAGAAGAAGTAAATTAATTAGTAAGTAAAGGCGCGGGCGCAGTCATAAATCTACCAATGAAGGTAAATAATAAATAAGGTGCGTAAGATTCATTGTACAATTAAAGATGCTACGCGTGTCATCGAAGTGGTATATTAGTATAAAATGAAATTTTTTTTTAAACAAAAATCTTAATTATAATTTTAATATGTTAATGTAGTATAATAATATAATCCCTATTTATCATATCAATTAATTTCATTAAACACTCACGAATATGATACTCGCCGCCCAAAAAGGAAAGATGTAACATTCCGCACAGAGCATGTTGCGTGGCGACATTCTTAAGTGTATAATTATTATAAAATAATTGGTTGTGATATTTTGTAATAAATGTTTTCTTTTATAATTATTAGAAATAAAAAAATACTTAATAAAGACAGGTAAAAAAAGGTTTACTGGAAATATTACAGAAAATAAATCAAACGAGTGCGAAAAACTTGTGTTAAGTAGTAATTTAATTCTGAAAAATATTAAATGTAGTGAAAAGTCGGATGTAGTGAATAAAGCTATTGAGATATATGAAAATATTAATATACTATTTTTAGAAATTAAAAAATTGTGTATTAAGCCAGAAAATAATTCCACAAAAATGGATTTCGATTTAAAAATGTAGTTTGTTGCCAGTCATGGACGGTATCGAAGAGACCACAAAAAGATTAATTGATGGTATCGAAATGATTAATAATAAGCATAAAATAGTTATTTTTGAATTAAATAAACATAAATATTATTTTCTATTATATACTGGTGCTTCTTTGTCAATTATAAAACGCGAAATATTACCGAAAAATACTACAATTTATAAAAGTAATATTGAATATAATGGAATAGGAGGTTGCGTGAAATCTCGTGGTCACGTATATTTAACACTTAAAACTTAACATGATGAATCATTTCATCATAAATTTTATATTTTTAGGAATTTATCTTTAAAAGTAGATGGCATTATTGGATTAGATTTTTTATCTAATTTTGGTTGCGATATATTGTTGAATTCTAATACTTTGAGTCTTAACTCAAATGGAAAACAATGCCTAAATGCCAATTTATGAAACACCGGATTATACTTCGGATTATTTATTAATCCCCGCGCGAAGTGAGTCGATTCACTATGTAGCTGTAGAATCAGGTTTGAAAGGTGATGTAGTGGTTTGCGCGAAAGAGAGAGATTAGAAATTAGAAAGAGATTATGAGAGATCCATCCAGTCTTTAATAAAATTTAGATTGATATTAGAGGAATATGATTTCAAAATTCAGTATATAAAAGGTAAAGAAAACGTAGGAGCTGATGCCTTGTCAAGAATTAATATTACATCAAATGATTTAAAAGGCATGAATGAGCAAGTTATGGCAGTATTAACTAGAAAACAAAAAAAAGAAATGCAAGAAGATAGAGAGAGCGATGTAGAAAAGGATACAACCTTTATTATTAACTCTGGAGACGAAAGGACTGATCACCCTCGAGTCGTGGAGTTAAGAAAGCCATGTGATGAAATGAATTTGATAGAGGCACCTGAGTTAGATAAATTACGAAAGGGCTTAGTAAAGATTATAAATGTTTTTCTTATTGTCCGAGTAGACAAATGTTATACATTAACCTCAGCTTTAAGGCGCAATTCTCGCGAGTCGAATTTGTGACCATGTTGAGTGATTTTTGTAAACAGCTTAGTATCGAAGAGATATGTATAATAAAAGATAAAAGTACTGAAAATTTTATAAAAGATTTAAGAGATGAGATAAAGTCGACTGCATATTGGTCCGGACCATGCATTCATATATTAAAGAATGTACTTAACTAGGATTGAGAATGGTGAAGAAAAATCATTCATATTAAATGATTTTCATCTACTACCCACAAGTGGCCAGGCTGGTGTACGTAGAATGATCAATACTATCAAGAGACGATTTTATTGGCCAAATCTCGAAACTGATGTAAGAGATTTCATTAGAAAATGTTCTAAATGCCAAAAATCTAAACATTATAAATACATAAGAGAGCCTATGGCGATAACAACAACTGCGTCACATGCATTCGAAAAGATATATATGGATATAGTAGGCCCTCTTCCTAAAGATTATGAGGAGAATGTGTATATATTAACCATTCAGTGTGAGTTGAGTAAGTATATAGATGCTTATCCACTTAAGAATAAGGATTCCATTAGCGTCGCTAGGGCGTTAGTTGATAATTTTATTCTAAGATTCGGCATCCCTAAAATAATAACAACTGACCGAGGAACTGAGTTTACTTCTGCCACCATGAAACAGGTATGTAAATAATTAAACATAGATAATATTACATCAACAGCATACCATCATCAGTCAATAGGTTCGTTAGAGAATGCTCATAAAAATTAAGGCGCATTTTTACGAATTTATTGCGACAAAAACAAGCAATCTCGGTCTTATTGGTTACCATACTGGAGTTTTAGTTTTAATACTACTGTTCATACTGTAACAAAATACCAACCGGTTGAACTTGTATTTGGTAGACAATGTAATATACCTAACCGATTATGTAATACAGTAGAACCTATGTATAATCCAGAAAGTTATGTTAGTGAACTTAAATATAGGTTGCAAGTTGCTTATAAAGATGCCCGAAATAATTTGTTACATAGCAAATATATAATAGAAAAACTAAATATGATAAGTATGTTAATACTGTTGTTTACAATAAAGATGATTTAATTTTATTAAAATTAAGAAACAAGTGGAAAATTAGATGAATTGTTCAATGGACTATGTACTCTATTAGAAGATATGGGATTTAATGTTAAAATAATTAAAGATAATAAAATAGACATAGTACATAAGAATAGAACAAAACTTTTTGTTAAGTAGTATACAAAAAAAAATATGTGTAAGCCCATAATGAGATCTAAGATTTCATTTGAATGTGTAAGCCCATTTTTTTTCTTTCACCCCCGGAGGTGAAGTGTAATAAATATAGTGTGTATGCTATATTATAGAATTAAGTCTAGTGTAAAGTTTCCTTTATAAAATATCTCATGTATACATCCAAATATGGTGGACCACCCATTGGCCCAAGCTTTCATTATGCTATGTTAAAATCTTCTATTATTATTAAATACGACTTAAAGCTACAAAGACGTTTTTTTTCAAACCCAGTAATTAAGCACATTAGAGTGGCAGGATGGACTTGGCCCCGTAGTCGTGAGACAAACAATAAGTGCAAATTAAAGTATTTTATTTACATTTGGGTAGTATAAACTCGGCTACTATATCTACAGCACTACAACTAGAAACTTCTCACACGTCGATCTGAATCGAGGAGTCCCAGGCCCGCGCGTTGACGAGTTTGAGAGTAGAGCGTAGCGCCCCGCCCGGACCCAGCGCCAGGGTGAGGGGCTGCGGCGTGTCGGGGGGGCGCGCGTACAACACGTGGAGCACCTGCTCCCAGCGGACCGGGGACGTGGTGAGGCGGACCAGGCGCCGCTTGACGCCCGCCACGGAGCGGGCGGCGCGCGCGTCCACACACGACGGGACGGGCAGCCGCGGCTCACGCACCGAGCACAGGCCCACCGCCTCCCGCACCGCCTGCTCCGCGCGCGCCATCAGGGGCGAGTGGAAGGCGCCCGACACGCGCACGCGAGCCGAGCGCCTCACTCCCCACGACCGACCCTCCGCCTCCACGAACTTCAATGCCTAAAACGAAAAACGAGGCGGTGTACTCGGGGGTTACAAGTCATTTATTTATTTTCGTTTATTGGTAATGCAACAGCGTTACAGTAATTTTATTTACAATATATGTAGCTATAAACAAGGCCAATTTAGGATTTTAAGCAATACAGTATTAATCCTTATCCAATTAAGTATCTTAAATACATTGTGCATTTAATAAAGATCAATATGGCTTTTTACAGCATGTAAATTAAATAAATATTTTCGAAGATATCACAGATTTAAAATGCAGAGTCATAGCAACTTCGGTGATAAATACCGGCAGCGGTGCCAGGCGAACGGGGCGTGGGGGGAGCGGGGTAGGTGCGGTGGGGAAGAAGTGGCTATACATATATTACTAATGACGAAACTAACGCGGACGAAGTCGCGGGCAAAAACTAGTTATGGATAAAAAAGGAAAAAAAAATCAAAGCAAATAGTGTTAAATACAAAAGTGTGTGTGTGAGTGTGTGTGTGAGTGTGTATGTGTGCGCGTGTGTGTGTGTGTGTGTGTGTGTGTTTTTAACACAAAATTACGGGTTACGATGTATATTTATTATTTCTTTTTTAAGTTGGTTTGGTTGGTTCAGGTCCAGATGTGAATAAAATTTATTTTATGTATTTGCTAAACGAATAAGTATGGAATTTTTTTCGTAGTTTGTCTTCATGTTGGGCACGTGCAGCAACGCCGTGTGACTAATTCTGTATCTCGGTACTTGTAGTGATAAGGCTGACACTAGGCAAGGACAATCAAGTTCTCCAGTCAGTATTGCTTGCAATCAGTGGCGGCTGGTGGGTAATAGAACTGGTGGACGGTGGTGCACTTTACTAAAATAGCAAAATTAGAAAATGCAACAAAACATTACGAAATGTCAAAAACGGCTCAATTCGTCATACATCGGGTGCTCTCGGTAATCTTCGGCCGCTCGTGCGGCGCTCGAGAACCGACTCATTACTCGGTACATTTCTATGAACTATCTTTTGTTTCACGCGTCAGGCGTATTAATGCGTATCTCATACAAGATGTATTGGCAGTCCTCGTGCACTCGCCGAAGCGCACTATATTATATTAGTTTAGTAAAGCGCTCAAAATTTTTGACCATAATTAGGAAATTTAATTGTTTATACGTTTTTGTATGTTTAAAACATAAATATTAAAATGTTAATTTAAAAATAAAGATGAAGTAATATTTTGTAATTTTTAAATCTTTTGAATTGGTGGTTCAGCGCACGAGTGCACTTAAGGTACAGCCGCCACTGCTTGCAATAGTAACATATCACTTTGTTTTCGTCTGTCTTCAAGACAATCAATTTTGTAGTTAATATACGCTTCCTGGTAATTATTAAATTGTTTGTATTCTTTGAATGCCAGATATTTCTCCGCCTAATTTCTTTGAGGATGTTCATACTATATACTATATATCACACCTTAATATATCATAACGGTCGTCACAACTTTCGTCTTCGTAGAAACCGTCTGTAAGCCATGACTCCTTCGTCCTTAAATCACGTACATTTTGGTATAATATTTCAATAGGTTTAACTGACATTTATCAAAATACTTTTGTTTGAAAATATCTTTGTCCGTATGAGTAAATATGTAAGGTATGTAGTGTGATGTGTATTTATGATACAAAACAAGGAAAAAAATATGAATATGAATGGAAACAACAACAAAATTACGTTATAACTATCTAGGGAAGGAATAAATTCACGTTATAATTAATTAAGTTTTTTAAGATCTTTTTCTTGAAGAATAGTCAGCGCTGGTGTCTCCTCGTTTTTTCTCGAATAAATAATGCAATTCCTTACCCAAACGAATTTGTAGCCTTTCTCCCTCGCCTGAGTTTTGGTAGCTTTAAGTAGTTGCTTATTTTCGGGAGTCAAGTGTTCATTTACAAAAAGCTTTCTTTCTGGACCCCCCCAAACCAACATCAGACGTCTTAATGCCTTGTTTACGTTTCAGATTTGATAATATTTGATCTTTCAAAATTCGATTCCTTCATTTGACGACAATAGGTTTGTCCTGTCCGGAACGTTTTTTTGAGGCTGAACACGGTGTGCAAATTCTATGTCACCTGGGTTAAGGTCAACCCCCGCATAATGAGCTATTTTAATAACTAAATCAGTTGGGGATTCCTTATTGCTTTGTGGAACGCCAATAATCTCTAGGTTATTCAACCTTGCTTGTTGTTGCTGTCTGCTGAACTGTGTGCGTATTTCAGATACCTCGGTTTCAGTGGCCTTAATACGGTCCTGCAGCTTACTTATATCACTCTTAAGATTTTCATTCTCGAATTGTATGAGATTATATGAGGCTCGTAGTTGTGATATTTCGGCCGTCAGTAACGTAATTTCATTCTTTATTGAACTTAGTTTTGCATCTAACAGTTTTTCAAAGTGGCGGATAAAATCAGTGTTATTAATATTCGAGATATGGGTCGCGGTTTCCTGATCACTAACACACGGTGGTAATAGTTCACTAGTGGTGGTGGTTTATTTGTGTTCGTTTATCACTTGAAGCTGGTGGTGTGTTATTACGGTCACGACCTTTGTGTTCAGTGGCTCCAGTTACGCACTCTTGACACTTCCATTGAGTTCTTATTGATGAGAGATAGCCGACAAGTCCCAAGCATTCCGAGTGATATAGTAGATAGTGACAGATAGTACATTTTAATAATACATTATTAAACTTATAACTCAATTTTACTATTATACATCCTTTACAAACTTCACAATTTCCAGCCATTAGATGTGAGTCTAACAAATCGTGTTTAGGTCGGAAAGATGTTAATAAAAATTAAAAAATAGAATTCTAAAAAATAAAATTTTAAAAGATAAAATTCTAAAAGATGAAATACTTTGTTTCGTATCGTTGGTTACAAGCTAGGATCGATCCCTGGATCCCCTTCGTAATAACTAATAAATAATAATAGTTCGACACTTGCTCGGAACCTCTGCGCCACGAGTGCGATGACGGATAACGCGAATTTTTGAATCAGTAGCTTGACAGATGAATAATAAGTTAATTAGTTCCAGTTTCCACTCATAACGAAGAACACAACTACCCGAAACAAAGAAAATAATAAAAACACTCAACACCAAATACCACAGCAATGTTCACTATTTTAGCTTCAAAAATACGTTGAAACATTATTGTTTCTCGGTTCAATTATCACATTACACTGAGATTAGTCTGTATTATTGGACTAAAAAATTTTGCAATGATTAACGTAGAAAATACTATGCTTTGCTAATTTTTTAACAGGAGCTCTCGAGAAACGTGTAGTTTGACGTTGACTGGTATAAAATATGTGTCATGCGTCGGCTTCACGCCGAGGTCATCATTGATGACGGAATTCTCACCTGTTCGTCTCCCGCCAGGACCTTGCAGCCGGGGAACAGGTAGTTGGCGATGACACAGACCGGTTCCGGCAGGGCGGGGGAGCGCGCGCGGTCTCTCGCCCGAGCCAGCAGCTCCTTGAGCCGGGCGTCGGGCGCGAGCCACACGGTGAGCATGCCGCCGGGCCGCTCGCGCGCCGCCGCCTCCATGGCCGCCGCGCGCAGCTCCACCAGCCGCAGCGCCGGCTCCAAGCTGAGCGCGCCCGCGAACACGAGCGCGGTGATCTCCCCGAGCGAGAACCCGGCGGCGGCGCGCGCTCGCTCCACGGCGGCGGGGCGCGTGTCGCGGGCCAGCTCCAGGGCTCCCAGTGACGTCACCACCACGGCCGTCTGACAGCGGCGCTCCAGCTCCTCGGCCGGCCCCTCGCGACACACGCGGCCCACGTCCCACCTGACGGTATTATCATGGAATAATGTAGCGGCAGATATAATGTTTTACATATTTTAAATATTCTCCATAAAGGCATGAGAAAACCATCCCAGACTATTCTTTTTATAAAACGTAGAAGAGAATCCATGAATCGTTATATTAGGGAACTGTTTATTGTGATTCAATAAAAAATATAAGTTATATCAATAATTATTCAACTGCTGTCAATCTTTAAGCAAATATTATAAATGATAGTTAACAATTATTTTTTTTTGGGCCTCAAAGTGTGTAATGTTGAACAATAAAACCTGTAAAGAATTTGTTACTAATTTAAATTAGAAGTCTATTGGTTGGAGCTCAGGTACTGACAGCAAAACAATAAAGACAAAAAACATTATAAGAAATAAATATATTACATTGTAATAGGAAAATTAAAATTAATATCATGATAGAGATGTTGAAACTAAGTTAAGTCAGTGGTGGTCTAATGGTTAAAAGGCCCGCCTCTCTTCATGAGGGCGTGGTTTCGATCCTGGCCCGCACCAATGTGATTTTTCCGAATCATATGTACTTTCTAAAAAGTATTTGGACATCACTAATTAATGTCGATTCCCAAAAGAGGGTTGATGTCAGGCAGGCGGCCAGTCGTAAAAACAAATAGCCAAAACTATTCACAACATGTAAGGCAGACCCTGGCTATAGCTGGGAAATTGCCAGGCAGAAGAAGAAGAGATGTTGAAAGTATTTAGAGTAGGTCCTTTGAGAGCTACAAAGCCACAGATAATACACACTCACATACCAACATCAAACTTATGAGTCCATTTTAAAATGTGTTTTAATCTGTATTATAGGAAGACCAAGGATCTTGGAAGTCAAAAGAGCAGCTAGTATGTGGATATAAAAGATTTGTTTCATCAATGTTGGTTAAACAAAACATAAGTATTACCCAACAATGCTCGACGCAAGTTCATACAGTTCTTTAGCAGCAGGTACTTCTTGTAATTGACGACCCATGCCTACACGTTGAGAACCCTGTCCAGGGAATAGAATCACGGTAGTTTCTTTAGGATCTACGTAAGGGGCTGGTTCTTGGCCAGGCTGTGTCGCGTAGGGTTGTGTCGCCCACTGCAGCTCCCCTTCTGCCGGTATAGCAGCACCTGCCTCTCCGAAGTTACTCGCATCTTGAAGAAGTCGCCGAAGTGGACTTTCACTATTTTTATTACTTTTCGACCCCACAGCGCGCGCTAAGAAACGCGCTTTACCATAAACTCGACGTATAAGAGATGTCATCGATGCACACAAATAATACTTATAGGTTATTTAATAAAATAAAGTGCGTTTTGTGTGAAACATCTCTAGTCAGTTTATTTTTACTCAAAAATAGAAGAAAGTCTATTGAAAATGAAAACCATATATTTATTTTAAATGTTTTTTACATAAAAATAAACACTATTTACTATCTGTTCCTGTCTAAAACTCTCTCGACACAACTTATAACACTAGTCACTAACAGCTATTAAAATAACACTAATCTGACAAAAGTAATGTCATGTTACAATTTATGTCAAAAAATATTTAGGCCTGATATGGACACCTTAGTCTTTAAAAGTATCTGAATTGAAACGAACTTTTATATATATTTAAATATAAGTAAACGTAAAATCTCATTTAAATTATACTGGTAAATTACAAAATCTTCGGTTAAGACACTCATAATCAAAGCATTAGTTGTGATATATAACAAAAGAAAAACCAAAGATAAAGAATAGTACGGGGTAAATAAAAAGAATTCAGGTCAAACATTATACTAAAAAAATTGAATTTATAATTTTTATTGTTTATTTTAATATTTCTGTTTTTTAATATAGTGTGTACCACGTACGGAGTAGGTGTCTATTAAAAGTAATTTATGATAGACCACAGATAAATTGATATTATCTGCAATTTTGCAAATCAAAATTTTAATCTAGTGATTACTTAAAATTAAAATACACATTTCATATTTTCCAGACAACATATTTCTCTAAATAAATGAATAATAAAACCTATTCCTTAAAGTGGTCATTATAAATAAACTTTTGGCCCTTTCTTGTAAAGTCAAATCATAGTTGCCTGGTAAATATAAGTAAAAGTATTTTTATCAAAAGATATAATCGAGGTTCTTAGGAATTAGAAAGGTATGTAGTAGAAATATAATCTTTTCTGTGTAACAATATCGGTATCTGTTTAATTTAATGTAATAATAATAATTTTTTTCGTTTCATTTCTCATCGATACGTTAAAGCATATGGTATTAGAGATCATATTTTATTTTTAAAGTCAGAATAAGTTTTCAAAGTGCAAGTAAAAACTGCGCTGAAACATTAAAGTGACGACTACTTCAATATTATTAAAGTAGATAAGTACTTGGTCATTGTTAATGAAACAATCAAGTGATCTTGTTTTATGATATTTTTAAAGATGGCCCGGGGACACCAGAAAATACAATCACAGGCCAAAGCAGCTGAGAAACAGTCAAAGTTAAAAAAACAACAAGGGCACAGTGCAACAGAGCAAAAGAAAGCTGCTCAGAAAGCTCTTGTGCATGTTTGCATTATTTGCAAGGTAAGCATTTTAAAACTAAGTCATAATGAGTTATACTATAGGTATAATATTATACAAGTTCTATTATTACTAATATAAGTGTGGTGTACCACAATCAGATCCACCATATATGCAACTAGCTCACTCGTGAACTAAGCATTGATTGATGTCACAAGTAACAAAATAGTATGACACACCATGAGGGGTTCAGAAGAACAACTGACACATGTGTTACATAGGTCCATATATCTGAGAACTCCAATTAATTTTAACTTTTACAAGTGTCTGAAGACTTGGGCCATATCAAACAATCATAATGATTACTATTATTAAGTTGTACTTGTTTTTTTCTGTTTTGCTTACATTCCTTCATTTTTCATAATTTTCTTAGATATATATCATACAGTAGTATGTAGACAGACATATTGCCCCAACTTTAGATTACGATGTAGTTAATTGTGATCCTAGTTTGACCATCTTGTCTTTATTAAATATTAAAGTATGATATTTTAAGTTTATTTTGTATTTGTGTCCCAGTTGGTATGGATGAATGTATCACCAGATATTAGTTTTGATGTTACTCAGTCTGGCTTCTATTATTTGTTTTATATCATTGTGTCACATGTTATATGTTCCAAAAGAAATTAAGTAATGTTGTTAGCTGCCCTTAAAACTTGTATACAGGGTGACTGGTGAATTACTATCGATACTTGAGGACGTGATATTTGACGATCATATATGACAAAATAAAAATTAATATAACATAAATATTAATAAACTTCTAAGTAAAGTTAAGCAAAAGTTATGTAATTAATTACGCATCGTGTGAACACCCTACAGATTAGGTATACACACACACACACACACACACACACACACACACACACACACACACACACACACACGCGTCCACACTTGGAACACTTGGAACGTGTCTACACCTTATTTATTTATACGGAAATTTGGTAAAAAATTAAGTACCTATTTTTTATACATAATTCGAATGAGAATCATGTACCGAGTATTCTCCTTAAATATTGATAGTAATTCACCAGTCACCCTGTATATTTTAAGCACAAAAAGTTGTTTTACATCCCATTTATCAAATTTAGGATGTAGGAAAATTTATCATAATTGATCCCATCATGATTATCTATTTATATATATTTCTACATACATCTGAGATCATAGTCTGAGGTACACATAAGATCAAAAACTCATGTGAAAATAAAATTTTATTGAATGTTGATGGTTGAGATAAACAATGATTTCTGAAAGTAAACATTTTCCTTTTTCAATTATTGATGAGTGATTTCATTTAAAAAGAAAAGCCACATAAAGTAAACAACAATTGTAAACTGTATCTTTACCGTCTTTTACTTAACAAAGTCAGAAGTCTCTGATCTATTTCTTTTTTTTTTTAATTAGAACGGCACATCGATAGTACATACATTAAGCACTTAAAAGTAAACATTTAAAACTGATCACATAACTGATGTGTGTACCAATTATAGATGTACACAGCACTGCTAAAAATTACTGTCTAGATTACACAAATATTATAAAAAAATAAGTTAACAAAGGAAATTTAATAACAAAACTATTAGGAAAAAAATACAAATGAAGAAGAAAGAATATCAAAAAACAATCAAAATAAACTTACTAAACTTACTACAGCTAACTACTACTACTACTACTATTTCTTCATGAATGCATTCTATTTTGTTTCAGGCTCAAATGCCAGACCCGAAAACTTACAAGCAACACTTTGAAAACAAACATCCCAAAAATGATCTACCGGAAGATTTGAAATCTGTCTAAAAGATACAAACCATTCATCAACATGACACCGACTTCGTGGACAAGAATAGAACTCTGAGTTCAGACAAGGAACTATGACTGAGAGAGCCGGGCCCGCGGCCCACCATGAGCCTGCTTACGATAGGTGGACATTATGTTTCAATAGTCATTCCATTGATTTATATTTGTTTGGGAGGCGGTCAGCGACGTCGGCGTCATGACGGTGAATGGTGAACATCTTCTCTTCTTAGATTTAATACTCTATTTATAAGAATAGTAAATACTGTCTTATGTCATCGGACATTCGCATTTGTCACTTTCTGTCGCGTGCGCGGTCTCGTGTACCGCGCTCCATTTAACCGACGGCTCTGAGCACATAATAAACGAATTTATCCAGTCCGATGTTTGATTGCCCTACATCTTCTCGTACGTCTGTTCGTGTCCACACTCACAGCGGCGGCGGTACACGTCCTCGTGGGGGTCGTAGGTCTCCTCGCCGTACTGGTGCTCGTGCGCGGCCCGTGTGCGGTCGAACAGACTGGAGCGCACGTCCATCCTGAGCGCCCTCAGCCGGCGGCGCGCGGCGGTGTCGGCGGCTCGCTCGCGGCGCCGGTCCCGCTCCTCACGCTCCCGCCGCAGCTCCTCCTCCGAGCCCCACACGTCCAGGGCGCGCTGCTCCACCTGCACCCGCAGGTACAGCCTCATCTCGGCGAAGCGCGCTCGGTGCGGGTTGCGGCGCCTCACACACCTCAGCGGCGGCGGCCGAGCGTCCAGGTCGCAGTCCTTGAGCAGGAACTCGCTCTTGGCCTCCGTCCGCGTGATGAGCTCGTGCTTGTCCTCGTCGTCCCTGACCACACGACACACGTTAACGTAACACGATCACCACCACGGACGAGGGAGGCGGAGGACGCACCTGCAGCCGTCACAGGCGCTGTAGTCGAATGTGTCCAACAGATAGGACTGCGGGAAGGGCTGGCCGCAGTGTAGACAGAGCGGCTGGTCGGGTCGGTGCACGATGGGTGCGTGCGGGGCGCGGGGCGCGGGGGGAGACTCCTCCTCCTCGGCCTCCAGGAGGAAGCCCCCGCCGGAGTCCACCGGAGGACGGATAGACTTCTTTTCGATGTGGTCCTTCTTGTCGGCTCTGAGGATGAATTTAGTTAAATTTTTGGCAGAAGAATATTATATAATATCTCATACTTCAAAATAAACAATTATTTATACATATAAAGTTCACTAATTTAGGAAATGTACACTTGTTGTATACATGATAGTAGCCCCACCTACTGATGGTAAGGCGAGTTCAAACTAAATTCATACATCCTGTTTCTGATATATTATATAATAAGTTTGTGTTATGAAATAGTGTAATAGTATTAGTTGTCTAAGAATTAATGAAATCATTCTGACCACTGCTACATACATACAGTAAAAATATGTTCTTAGGTTTCATCAATGATTTCAAGAAACTTATCTGATTTTGATATCTTTGTAATCCGGTCTTGTATTATCCTAAATCCCTTACTTAGTTTATTTATCATACGTTTATTACATTTAGGTGTTTTATACATTTTGAAAAATTACATAAGTCTTTTCACCTCTATGATCATATTTGGCAAATCGCAAGAGATTAAAATTATTTGATAATACTTTTATGTTAACCAATAGACTAGTCTGTTACAAGTGTTATAAAACAATATTTACGAGAGACTGAAGCTAAGAATCTAATAAAGGTATGAATATTAATGTTGCACTTTTGAATGTTAGTTTTTCGTGTCATATATAATCACTGACGCTGGACGTTTGACGAGTCGAGCTTCTCTGAGTGCGAGGGCCCTGCTCCTGTTCCGTTCCAGGCGAGCCTTCTGGGCAGCTGTAAGAGATCCCTCCTTGCTCTCAGAAGTCTCACATTCTTTACTTGATTCCATTTCCAATGCAGAACCTAGACGAGAGTAATATTTTAAAAATGATCATATGAGTTTCAGGTTCTAAATTACTACCTCCCTTCACTTGGCTTTGCGTATTCGCGTATTTGTTGTGTTCGGTCAAATAATACCATGTGTGGAGGATTTATTCGTCTTCATTTGACATATTTGTACAAATAAGCGAAAGCACCGTTTGTCGTTTTTTTATCACACATCAAAAGACGCAAATGTTTCAAATATACCAAATACACAATCCACACATAGATGGCTCATTTGGTGAGCGACAGCAATGTAAAGACGTGTTCACTGCTTGCATATTCTTAATCTGTGCTCAGCAAAATGGATTAGATTAATGATGTTGTATTGAGATTTTTGGAATTGTACCAAATGCATCCGTGTATGTGGCATCCCCAAAATGTGCCCCAGCCCCCACAGAAACAAAACGAAAGTCAACGACGCATGGTGTGTAATAAAGAAGGAATTGGGATTTCCAGGGACAATAAAGGAATTTGAAAAAAAGAGAAAATCATTAATGTCTGCATACACAGGGGCTACAAGGATAAAAAAATATGAAACATCAGGAGCTGGTGTTTCTTATGTTTATAAACCGACGTGGTTTGTATTTGACCTCTTGGATAGTTCCCATAGCAGAGCATATATTTAATTATTAAATTACGGCTAGGTACCGTAAGTTGACCAATTACCTAAAATTCAATGCGTTAAATAGTACATTTCAACTGCCATTTATTATTTTCCGAGAGTTGATCAACTTACGAGTCTTGTTATTTTCCGGTGACATATACTCTCTCTAATTTCTCAGGTACGTACGTATTTAAACAAGTTGTTTCCTTTTGTCTTTGTTTATTTTACTTCAAATACATAAACGACTTAAATCTATATTATAGATACTATTATATCTATACTAATATTATAGATGGGAAAGTTTGTAGTTTGGATGTTTGTTGCTCTTTCACGGCGTAACGACTGAACCGATTTGACTGAAATTTGAAATGGAGATAGATTATACCTTGGATTAAAACATAGGCTATATTATATCCCATAAAATTCAAACAGGAACAACAAATAAGCGAATTCCACTTGAAGGAGCTAAAGCTACAACTATAGGACGCTTGCACCAGCTAGTGTTTAGTATAATCATAGGCAGTTGTAGTCTGTTTCAATAATTACATATTCATTGTCTAGTGTGCAGGTATGTAGCAAATTCATTGCGTATCTGTTCTGCATCCCTCGGTGACCCCCTGGGAATATTCCTCATATCACGCAAAGCTGGATTAATAGGAACATCATCCCTCCATGATCCCCTGCTTACTAAAACATCCCCATCAAATATATCAAATGTGCCTGGGGGATTATATGAAGCCGATGAATGTGGGCTCTTTCTTAAGAAATTATGTAAAACTATGCAGGCCATAACTACATGTTTAGCTGACTCTGGTTCCAGTAGTAGTGGCTGACGAAGTACTCTAAAGACAGAACTAATGACGCCAAACGTATTTTCCACAACAACACGGGCCGATGATAATTTCTTATTAAAAAATATTTCTTTTGTACCTTCTTCGTATTCACCAGGGTACGGTTTCATCAAATTTCTATGCAAATCAAATGCCGTATTCCCTAAAAATACATAAGGCATATCAACATTTCCATTTGGAAGCGGAGTTGGTGTAGGTAGTCCTAACGAGTTGTCGATCATCTTATTCAACAAGATGGAATTATTTAAAACACCACCATCGCTTATTCGGCCCTGGCATCCTACATCAGCAAACAAGAAACAGTAGTTACTATCTACCAACGCCATTAATACGATGCTAAAGAATTTTTTATCGTTAAAATCTTCTGAGCCTCTGTTGATAGTTGCCCTCAATGAGACATGTTTCCCATCTATAGCGCCAATAGCATGTGGAAATCGACTACAGAATCCATGTTCTATGGTAAGCCAGCCTTCTTCCGTGTTAGGCATCTGTAAAAAAAAATATTATTAAATAAATTTATATTTTCAGGGTGACCAGAACCAAGACCTGAATGAAAACTCAAATCAAACAATTGAGTCAGAACCGGTGGCTTATGCTAATACTTCAAACTCAGAATGTCAGCCAGTTTCAAATCTCTCATCTCAGTTTCAGGCTGTTACTCAACACCTCTAACGTCACAACACACAACAGGTAACAATGACTACAATCAGAAGGAGACAGCACAATCCAACTGAACTTATACAAGCTAAACACCAAACGGATAAAGCATTTAAGATTCTCAAAATGGGATCACAATGGAAATTAGAAGATGATGATGAATGCAATATCTTTGGAAAACTAATTGGAAAGAGACTGCGTAGATTACCAGTCAACTTCCAATACTGAAAATTACAATACAGTGTCAGTAGTAGAGGTATCATCTAATCAACTAATATCTCTACCAGTCAAGAAACAATCATAAGTTTTTCAAGCCCTAAATGATAAGCATTATAGTGGTATTTATAATGACTGCCTGTTATCTAATACTACTGAATGAATAATTGATGTGGTAAATTAATGAGAATCTATTCAATTATAGTAGGTAAAAGTATGTGATGATTAATAAAATATTTCCTTACCTTAACACAGTCCTTAAGCACCTGGTATATGGCAACACAAACTTCTAGTACAATTTTTGAGATAATTTGAGTTGACATCTTGAACAACAAATGTAGACTCCGGTAGCTATCGCCAGAAGCCAGGAAGCGTAAAGTTACAGCCAGTCTAATCTTCGGTGGTATACACTCTCTCCATTTAGTATCTTTCTTTGCAATGATTGGCTCAAGTTTTTGTAATAAGAACTCAAAGTCTGTATATGACATTCTGCAAAAATTATTGAATTCATGTGAGGGTTCTACCAACATTTCCTGAAGTTGTTGCTCCATTGTCTCCCTAAAGACAATAAAAAAAGTTAAAGGTTCATTATCTAATACAAAAATAATTATGAATAATTCATTTAATAGGTAACTCCATTGCCTATAATAATTATTATTATTCATCTACAGTGCGAAAAAATGGTAACTTTTATTTTACTGTTAGTAATAATTAGATTTTTCTGTCGTTACCTTGTACGATTTTTGTGCATTTTTAACATCCACCGGTGTCGTCTCTTCCTAGGCTTCTTAACAACTTTGTATTTATGTACTATTTGTATATACTGATAGGATGCACTAAAATATGCTGCTGCAGCGGTAAACACGTCCATTGCTAGGTAAATTCAATTTATTTAAACTACAAACATTTTCGCGAGTATTTCATTAATTTGGCCTTTTTTGCTGTTGCATGCCAAGTGTGGATGTCGAGTTTGCGCTATTTGGACTACGTACAAATATTTGGACAAATGCGGCGAATATACTACGCGAATACGCAACGCCAAGTGAAGTGCCACCTTTATACAAAACAATGGAATTGAAGTAATGTTGTGAAATAATTCCAAAAAAAGTTTCTCACAAAACAATGTTGTTTTCTATATAAATATTATCCTTTTCGAGAATTATTCTTTTTGTTTTGTTGCAAACAATAAATCTAACTAATTTTTACAACGAAAGAAGACACTTACTATTTACAAGATGATTTTTAATTTATTGTAAAATTAATGAAACATGTGGTACGTACCCTCAGATCAAAGTATTAAAAATTTTACTTAGATATCAATTACATGAGATTTAGGAATCAAATAAATTGCTCTTTTAATTCTTAACAACAGCCAGTGTTGTGTTAACTTTATTTTGAATTGACAGGTGGTTATGAGTGATGACAGATCTAAACTTGACTTTATCAGAAATAATCTGTGCTTAGAGAAGTTAGAATAATTCAGGTTAATTATAATTTTATATGAATAGTTATAATATTTAATTAATCATAATGTAGGATTTAAACAACTAGAAAACTTTAAAAAAAGACTAGTAACGATGACTTCATCATGATTTTAAATACTGACATTGGATTTCTCCATTTTTTTTTGGCATGATTAATCAGATCAAGAAGGTGCTGGGCTGAAGTCAAGTCATTCCTCATGAAGGGTGCTTTATTTATTATGGTTTCTTAAGTATGAAAAAAACTCGAATTAAACAAATGTCTTCAACGGCTATTATTAAATGATGGATTCTGAAGCATGATTAAAAAAACCAATATCTCCATACCATATTTTTAAGTTTAAAGCTAGGAACACTTGGAGATTTCTTGTGGTTACAATTATAAAAAATACTTTTCTTACTTGTAGCTCTGTATGAAACATACTCCATACTACTACGCGGACATTGTCTGTACTCTTAGTGGTCCTTCACAATACATATATGATATACAGGGTGACTGGTGAATTACTATCAATATTTAAGGAGCATACTCGGTACATGATTCTCATTCGAATTATGTAAAAAAAATAGGTACTTAATTTTTGACCAAATTTCCGTATAAATAAATAAAGTGTGTACACGTTCCAAGTGTTCCAAGTGTGAACGCGTGCGGCGGCGTGCTGATACAACAACACGCGGCCGCGCGCGTATGTGTGAGTGTGTGTGTATACCTAATTTGTAGGGTGTTCATACGATGCGTAATTAATTACATAACTTTTGGTTAACTTTACTTAGAAGTTTATTAATATTTATGTTATATTAATTTTTATTTTGTCATATATGATCGTCAAATATCACGTCCTCAAATATCGATAGTAATTCACCAGTCACCCTGTATATATATATTTTAATATCGGTAGCCGCCTAAACACTGATGGTGAGGTCCAGTGTTTTATTTGATTTATATAAGATCCATGCAATGAGTTTAGAAATGTAGAACGAGTGGTTAGACATAAGAGATTTTCGCATCTCATTATCACTAAAATGGCGCGCCTTAATTCACTGATATCCAGCATTCCTAAAATTTTATCGCAATGTATATCAAACAACTCTCCCAGATCAGAGTAATTTAGTAAGAAGGGATAAACTTGCTATATCTGTGGGATTAAGACAGAACTGCTAAGCACTTGCTGGTGGGATGCAAGATACTCCTGAACTGCGGCCAATACTGGCGTCGTCACTATAGGGTTCTAGAGATCATACGTGTAGCGGTTAGTCTTTCGGTAGCCAGAGCGCAAAGGTAAATAACCACAAACGAGCGATCAGTAGGTTTTATGAGAGAAGACACTAGGGTTATAAAATCAAACGTCTAGCATTACTCTATCCTTAAGGCGGCTCCGGATTAGACTACAATGATAACAATACAAAATCCCAGAGGATTGTGCCTCGGCCTTATTAACGAACTCACTTGAAATAGGTTCGTCGGGGATTTGTACGCGGTAGAAGTGGGAGCGAGAGGTATATCAGATAAATCTCTCTACAACGAACTAAAATATTTGGACCTGTCCAGAACTAATATCACTGCATTCTTGGAACATACTTCGAAAACAGCCCTAGTAGGTTTTTTTTTAAATTTTGTTAGGTAGAGAGTTTAGCTTAGACGGTGGAGGTGAGCCTTTATCGCAACTTCCCTCCATGCAACGCGATGGATCCGGCACACGTACGGTGAATCCATTGCCTAGAATCATTTGAAATAACTAATAAAACTTATAATCAATATCTGAATTGTTTCAGCTCCCGGACATTTATGAGCAACCATCACGTACATTGGTCTAAACTCTAAAGTAATTTACAACTGGATTTGTAGAGAGCGCTAATGTAAACCACTCTTCCGTTCACATCATTATTATGAATGAACTTTATTTGTAACGTTTTGATGTGATATTCTTTTGTTACTGAATTCTCGGACTTTCTGTCTAAGTCTGTGGACGAGAGACTCTTCGTGATTAGCTATTGGTGATATGTTAGATGTACAGCTTCACTTAAGTGGTGTAACATTTACTATGAGGCTATTTATAAGTCAGTCGCCACTCCACAAACTAATGGTTCTTCGAGTAGGATGTACATATAAGATTGTTTACCTAAATTCTTAATCAGTGAGAAACATAAGTTAACCCTTGGTAAGTAAGCAAAAATTGTTTGAAAAAAAAATTACATTTTTTATTATAATTCCCTCCTCTAAAACATTGATAATAGACCTCAGACCTTCGCGAGTATTCATTCAAATGAAAGTAATATATTCGGATTAGGTATGTACTACGCGCAATTTATTATTTTTAACGGAGAACCGAGATATCGACCGTGATCAAGGTCGCTGCAAAGTAAGTATAAATAACGAAATACGCGAAGTAATCCGTAAATATTAATTTCATTTAAACATTGATAATATTCGCTCTTAAAGTTATAGCAATCCGATCAGAACTAACATCTATTTATATATATATTCTTTATTGTACACCAACATAGATAAATAATAGAAGTAACATAAAGAAAAGAAAATGTACAACAGGCGGCCTTATCGCTAAAACAGCGATCTCTTCCAGGCAACCTTTGGTAGAGGAGAGAGATAGGATGGTAGGGGTGTACAAATTATAAATATAGATACAATATATATATACATCCATATATATGTTTATATACGATACATAAATAAATATACCATAAATATATACTTATATAATAATATAATATACATACACATTATAAATATATACATTTACATACTATAGATAGTTACATATTATGTCACGAAGCAAGATAGTGCTCTTTTATCATTTTTTTAAAAGAAGTCAAGGTTGGTGCACGTCTTGCTTCGAGTGGAAGAGAGTTCCAAAGACGAATAGAATGGACAGTAAAAGAGTGAGTGTAAAAAGAAGTTGTATGAGGTGGTATTTTTAACATCAAATTCTCTTCAGAACGAAGATTATGACTATGTGAAGAACCAAGAAATTGAAAACGTTCTTTTAGATATGAAGGAGAAGACGGATTGAACAGAATACAGTACAGAAGTTGAAGGATGTGAGTATTCCTGCGAAGCCGGATTGGGAGCCACTTGAGCTTTTTACGAAACTCAGAAACGTGATCATATTTACGAAGACCAAATATGAATCGGATGCAAAGATTTTGGAGACGCTCAAGTTTATTAAGTTGCTCCTCTCTTAAATCAAGATAACATGCGTCAGCATAATCGAGAATTGGTAGTAGGAGTGACTGTGCTAACATAACTTTGGTAGGGATGGGTAGAAAGTTGCGTAATCTTCGGAGGGAGCCAAAGGCTGCAAAAATTTTTTTACTTACCTCACTTACCTGTGGTTCCCAAGACAGGTGCTGGTCAAAGGTAATTCCCAAATTTCTAGCTGTGACACTGAACGGTATGTTAACACCGCTAAAGTGTACAACCGGGAGATCCGAAAAAGATATGCGAGAAATTAATTTTGAACTACCAATAATCAGCACCCGTGTTTTATTTGGGTTAACTCGTATTCCAAATGCAGTAGACCACTTAGAAATATTGGATAAATTATTATTAACAAAATGTATAGTTGCAGGAAGGTTCGCAATTTTACATTGTGAATAGATCTGGAGATCATCTGCATACAGGTGATAGAGAGAAGATATATGAGAAGTGATGGTACTTATAAAGACCGAAAACAAGAGAGGAGACAACACGCCACCTTGTGGAACGCCAGCAGTTATAGGAGCCCATTCTGAGAAAGAATCTTGAACTCTTATCCGTTGCCGGCGCCCATACAAGTAAGAATGAAACCAGTCAATTACTTTAAGAGATATGTTAAGAGAACACAAAATAGCAAGAAGAATATCAAAGTCTACAGCGTTGAAAGCATTACTAAAATCTAATAATGTCAACACAGTAACCCGTTGATTATCCATTCCTAATCTAATGTCATCAGTTATTTTGATCAGAGCCGTAGTCGTACTATGACCAGGACGGAAGCCAGATTGTAAAGGATTCAATAGGACATTTTTTGAAAGGTATTGGTTTAATTGATTGTGAATAAGGCGCTCAAGTACTTTAGACAGGAAAGGGAGAATGGATATAGGACGATAATCAGTGTAAGATGAAGGATTTGTTTTTTTGGGGAGGGGGATGACTTGTGCGTCTTTCCAGGATTCAGGGAATTCACAAAGGATAATGGATTGGTTTAAAATATGTGTGACTACAGGAATTATAATATCTAAGATTGGGAGGATCATCTTACGACTAATGCAATCCGAACCAATAGCATCAGAATTTATTGCTAAAATGTTCTTCTTAACATCACTATGAGTAAATTGACTAAAGAAAAAAGGAGAATTTGCAGGAGTTGATTTGGCAGAAATTTCTTTTAAA